TTATTACTTAATATACCACTTTTCTCCTTAATAAAAACAAAGTATCCAAACAGTTTTCACTATTTGTCACCACCCCCTCCTCAGCATATTTTATGTAACACTTAGTCTATTTATAATTCTGCATGACTTTGTCCCTGGCTATATACACAGCCAGAATGCAGACATCAGAGGGCTGGTTTTTTAAATTTATAAATGTCAAAAAAGCCTGGAAGGGAAGCTAATTCCTTGGACAATGAAATTATGACTCAAGAAGATCTCAAAGGTTTCATGAGGTAAAATTTAATACAGAGTAAAGGTAAAATATTGCCTAACAAACATCAACCACATGTACATAAGAATGGAAAGATCTGGCTAACTGTAAAGATACTGCTTCATGTTGACATTTATCAATGGTTTCTACATGAACTTTCAAAAATCAAAATACAGAACTGCTAACTTTTTAGTGCTTAAGAACACCAATTAAATCAAAACAAAAATCCACAACCAATATTAAAAGAAACTTATCACCTACTAAAATAATCATTTCATAAAGGAAGGCTACTTTAACATTAGAAGAACGAAGTACAGAATTTCAAAAAATAATCCCTTGAGTTGTAACAATATTACTTGAATAGTCTTATTTTGCACTTATTTCTGCTTAGAAATCAGATGTCAATGTTATTAAACAGCTGCTGCATCTGTAGACTGTAAATGAAAGTGTATCTCTTGAAATAAAGGGAGTTTCAGTACACTCTGTATTCAGACCGTAACTGCAAAATTAAATATGGAAACAGGATCAGAACAAAAACAATAGCACTGACATGACTAAATCCAGCTGACAGAGATGAAAAAAGAAAAGGAGACCGTATCATATGAAATTTTAAATGGTAAAACATTTAGAAAATAAAAGCATCTAACAGAGAACTAGTATACTAAGAAAAACCTTACTGTATGTCACTCCTCAAAACAGAATAGTAACTTGAAGATGCTAAATAGCAAAGCAGAGAAGAGCTCAATTTACATAACATCTTTCTATTAAAAACTCTTGAAAGCTAAATAGGTTTTTTGCTACATGCAGGGAGGGATTCATAGGAAGTGCTAGATTCAATAAATCTCAGGAATATTAGCAGTAGGTGGCACGCTGTATGGATGACTTACAAAGCTTTTTCCAATTCTGAAATTTAATGAATCACAGGAAGGGAATAAATACTACCTCCTTTAAATTGCTAGATGAGTAGCAATAATAGATGAGTAGAAAGGATTTAATCAAAGACAAAGGTACAGTTATAGGTTGTACAACTTATTACATAATATGTAACACAAACAGATTTCACTAACATTGTGCTTCAAAATTTTTCAGCTTTAAATGTATAAACACCTTAATTAAGAAAACTGCTGCATAAATTCAGTATGTACATACATGCACCCACAAAGCAGGTAGGGGAGGGGTGAGTCTGGCATTTAGTTGAACCATACATTGTAGGCATTCACTCATTCAAAAAATTTCTCCTCATAAAAGGTAATAGTTCTATGGCATTTATTAATGACACATTAAATAACAACTTATTTTCTGCTATGTCTCATTTGTTTTTCAAATCTAAGCAATGCATGTTTCAGACTCTTCCACTGCTATGCCATCACTACTTGTAAGTACTGTTTATGATGTTTTCTTTAATCTTCCTTTTGTTGGTTACTTTGCTGCATTTTTTGACATAAACTTAGTCTTAGTACATACTGACCATTATTGACTCTGGCTAAAAAAATTTATACTGTTGCACAACCATTTCAACTAAACTGGACAATACAGATGCATCAGATTAATCAACTACAGATGTTTTTGTATTCTTTTTATACCTCAAAATGGCTTACTTATTGCTGAATATTCCTTGTGAAATATTTAAGTAAATAAAGACGCATTCATTAACGAGTACTCATTGTTCAAAATCTTCATTACTACATGTCTAATGAAAAAAGATGGTCCAAGACTTGTCCTCATTAATAATAAAACTATTTCCTACTGAAACCAATCAACATTTAATGTAACAATCAATGTTATTCAACCAAGCATTTTCAGATGGTAATTGATCTTTTATTCTTCTAGAATAATCTGCAACTGTTCAGATATTTTAGTTATCATTTAAGTACCACACATTCAGATACTTAAGAGTACATTGCTTAACACCCCAGTAAGGAAGAAAAGAACAATTACAATAATGAATATTTTTCAGGAACAGAATTTTCTTTTCGTTTGTTTGTTTGAGTACCAGGGATTGTCGCTGAGCTAAATCCCCAGCAGGAACTGACTTTTTTAACACATAGGAAATATTTAAGAAACATGTAGATTACTTACTACAATCTTTCAGAAAACCACTAAATTTACCAGTAAAGTTATATTTGAAGTTTCACTGAATATAATTCTACAAATTCAGTTGAATTACAGATTATCTTTCTTTTTAAAAACTGGTTGAAATTTGAGAAGTGAACTGTGAAGAAAATGCCTGTAATCCCAGCATTCTGGGAGGCAGAAGTAGGAGGAACTCAAGTTTGAAAGGCCTGCCCAAGTTCACGATTTAAGGAAAATTCGTCTCTAACATTAAAAAAGGTTAGGGGCTTAGCTCAGGGCGAAAGCTTGGTTCAATTCCCAGCATGGTGGTGGTGGTGAGAAAAAACCTTAATGAAAAGTACTCTATGTGACAAAACCCACTCACGTAAAAACGTAAGGGTAGTTATCTCTTAAAAGGCAAGTTCAAATGGAAAATAATTCCTTAAGGGAAGAAAACTTAACTTTATAGATTTCTATGTGAAAATGTTATTTGTAACACTTTATACAGTTGATCACGTTATCATCAACTTGAAGGTGAATTTTAAACATTAAACTCTACTGCTAGTAAATAGTAAGGGAAACATTCTTTTCCTTACATAGAAAATTACTTTATAACTGAAGTTCCATTTTAATAAAATCACTTTAACATTAAAGAGACAAAGACTAGGTCTATACAACTGTGAGAATCAAATTCATTGATACAGAGACTTAATGAGCATCTCTGCCTTCCACTAGTTTGGGGTGGAAAGTAAGTTAACTTTCAAGTTTTAGAACGTTTCTCTTGTCTCTGCCAAATGCTCTTTAAGTAAAACACAAAATTCTATTATCCTACACACAGATCTAAAAGCAGGTCTGGTTTTATTCTTACAAATGGCAGAAATAAAAAAAAAAAAAAAAAGGTTTGTAACTTGCTATTTATCAATGCAGTATTTCCAGAACTTAAATTTCTAAGTCTTTAAAGCTTAAGCAGCTAGGGTTTTATCAGTGAAGATCTAGATGCATCATGTAACTTTCATTATTTCTCCACCTGCTCCTCCCTAATGTTCTTCATCCTTTCTTCTGCTTGTTTTAAGCAGAATTGGCAGAAAAGGGCTCGAAGCTTTGTGTTTAAGACTCAAACTATTTTAAAAGATGCGTTTTCAACCACATGTATCCTCAACAAATTCCTGCCAAACACCTGAATTCTCTTTGACAGGCTAAAAATAGTTTCAGAAACATACCAAGCCTATGTCTTTTATTGTCTAAAAAAATAAGTACTAAACATGTATTCTAACCTATTCCCTTAGGAACAAGAATGCCTTGCCCACACAAAAAAACAATTCTATTTGTTCATTTCCCTGCTACACAACAGCTTCCTTGTCTGGCCTTCCTGCCCAGTCGTAATTTCGTATTGATCACCCTAATAGACTAGGACTCCAGGTATATATAGTCTCTGTCTTCTTTATATTCTTGGGGAAAAATAAGTAAAACTCTACTGAAAACTAGAAACCAGAAATTTGGGGGATTTTAAAATGTAAACCCCATGTTTTACGTAGCTGCTAGTATGTACAAAAATGGAACGAAAGTATACCAAAACGCTACGTTTCAATCTTAGGACAATGAAGCCCACAGGAAGCCACTCTCTCCTCCCCTGGGTTTACTACGGAGCCGGAGCCAAAGCAGGGTGCAGTCGCCCGGCTGAGTGCATGACACAACGTCTTTGACGCCCTCCCAACGTGGCCACCAGGCTTGTCCTCTAACCTACCCCAGACCGGCTCCCACCCCGAAACCAACATACAATGGGGACGGGCACACGGCTGGCTCCCGGGATGGGGAAAAACCCTGTACCCGGTGGCGGCGCAGCCATTCCCTCAGATGCTCCGCCCGCACCCTCCGCGAACTGCTACGGCGCAGGGGGAAGGGCTGCACAAAGCCAGGCGGCGCGGAGAACGACTCCACTCGTTGCGGGACGGCAGGGACGGTGGCGGCCGGCCAGGGGCAGCCGGGAAGAAGGTCGTGGGACAGGCAGGACCCGGGCGGCCTGGTGGAGGTGGGGGATGGGTGCCCGGGGCGGGGCGGCGGGGGCGGCGGTGTCGCCGCGGGGAGCATCCAGGCTGCGCCCCTCAGCCGCCCGGGCCGCGTCCCCGCCCCGCCGCCGAACGCTGGCCGAGCCCGATCCCGCTACCGGTCTGAGGATCCGAGGAGGAGATGGTTCGGCCGCCAGCGCCCACACAGAGCGGCAGGCGCATCACTTACCCCTCACCGCTGAGAGAGGGACCGGACGGGGGAGGCGGGGCGCGTTGCGTCCCGTGAGTCCTTAGCACGCCGTCCTCCCCCCACCCCGTCGTCGTAGTCCTTGTCGTCGCTGCCGCCTCCGGTGTTGTCGTCGCCGCCGCTACGGCCGAGCCGCAGGCCCCTTCGCTTCGCTGGGCAGTAACGTTATTCCACACACGCCCTGAACATAGCGGTAACGGCAGACAGCGGCCGCTTAGTGCGCAGGCGCCTAGAGAAAGGGCGAGGAGCCAGGCCCTATCCCCTCCTCCTGCTCAGCCCCGATGATCTTTTACTGCGCAGGCGCCAGTGCCAGACAATGAAAAGAACTTGTGTAGAGGGTCTCACCCAACACGCTTCCCCAGCTGCCCACTGCGCAGGCGTGCCCCCCAAAGACCGGCAGGAACAATGAACCGGACCCTGGCAAAGTGGGGACGGCAACCAACGCGGACTACATTTCCCAGCGGGCAATCCGCCAACTCCCAGCCGAGGTCGGATTGCTGGGCATGCTAGGAGTTGTAGTGTCAGCCCCTTCACAGAGGAGGTTGGAAAACTTGGAGCTTCTTTGCTTGAGAATTGACTTTACCGTTTAGATAGACGTCGCAACTGAAACAGGTTTAGAGTTTATTACATGCTTCCTTCAGAAGCCTCAGGGGTCAACTACAAATGAGCACACTTTGAAACGTCAAGTCCTTTAGTGAGCCCTGTCAGCTGGATGATCCAGACAACGCAAGGATGGGAAGAAGGCGGGACTCAACAGGGCTGGGCTAGAGTGAAAGGATTGGAACCTCCCACAGTGTCTCTTGGCAACAGGCTTTGGCCGCCAAACCGCCCAAGCAAATACCCTCTGGGAATTGTAGTGTATCTAGAGGGCCCGACGCTGTAGACTCCGAGCCTGTGAACTACATCTCCCGGCAGCCACCGCGCGGGCCACAAGGTAGGAGGAGTCCCCAAACGCTCAGTCCGGAGTTCCAGGCTCCCCAGTGACAGCAGCGGCAAGAAGCAGCAGGCATTCCCTCTGTGCTAGGCCTGTCCTCCGAGGGAAGTGCACTGGACATCTCCCCACGTAGCTCCCATCTTTGGGCCCAGAGTCTGTGCATGGCGAAGTCCCTAGGGAACTCTACCCTGGAAGAGAGTCTGGGGCAATATCAACGGAGTCTCAGGGGTGAGTTGCTCCGAACCTCTGTGCCTAGTGCCTTGGTACCTGGGGCCTTAGTGGGAGGGAACAGATCAGGTCCCTTCCTCACACCTCATTTGGGCTTCAGCCAGGCTGCAGAGGAAGATAGATGTGGCTCTGATTTTTGAGTCTCGTAGTAGTTTCCTGACTCAACAAGGTGTCCTGATCTTAACTGAGCATCTGTCTCAACTCGTGCCAGCAGAAACCTGTCGACGGCTCCATGCCACTTATGTCATACTTTGCCGTAATCCACTTCATTCATGATTTACACTTTTTGGACCAATTATGGTGTCACAGATTGAAGGTGACTTCAAGACCAGGGGAAGGCAATGGCAGTTATTTTAATCACAGCAGTTTGCTACTTGCATGCAGGAAGTCATTTAAAACTTACAACAATCTTGTGAATAGTTTTGTTTTACACACGAGGAAATAAAAATTCAGTGAGGCCAAATTATAGGCCAAAGTCTGCACATCTGGTGTGTAGGAGGGCCAGTTATTAAAGTTAGGGACGTTTGCCTCCCAATTCTATTTATTTTTAGTTAATTCAAATTTTCTTATTACAGTACTGATGGGTGATTATCAGCTGAAATGATGTGCTACTATACAAGAAATTGGAGAGGTTTAATGATGCTTCTTCAGAATGAGAACTGTGGCAGAAAAATTAGAAGACTTTGTTGCTGGCAGATTTGTAATATTATTCTATGCCTACAATTCCAACACTAGGGAGGCTGAGGCAGGAGGACTGATTTGAATTCAAGGGCAGCCTTGGCTACATGGTTAGTTCAAATCCAGCTGAGTTATATGGTAAGACCCTGCCTCAAAAAAAAAATGATTCCTACACAGTAAATTATCTAAAATATTGAAATAATAGGCATATCTTTGGTGCCTTGGAAGCCTCAGAGTTTAATTTAAAATCAGAGGTGATTTGGATGGTCTCCTAGCAGCATGGTTAGGTGTTTCATTTACAGTATAGTTAGCAACCCACAGAATGGCTGCGAACAACTTAGTAATTGGGGAAGTTGGCAAATAATGCCCCTCCTATAATTTAAATCCAATGCATGAAATATAAAATAAAGTAGTCTGTAACCAAAAAGAATGAGAAAAACCAAAATCATGGACAACTCAGATTCGTTTTTAAGTTCCTACATACTTGCATACAAAGATGTAATATTTTTTAGAAAGGACAGTCATCTCTAAAAATGAAGTATCTGAGCCTTAATGGCAGAATAATGTCTCCTCTATTGCTACAGTGTTGATAATAGATACAGTCTTATCAATAATACACACACACACACACATATATATATATATATATATGACTCACCTAATCTGGTCGTTCCAAGCTACTAATGTTTGCATAGATAGACATAAACAAACAAAAAATGTAGTATGACAGAACATGTAACTTCCATATACATTTTTGTAAGCTAGTTCTCTGTTTTCCTTTCAAGACTTTGATGTTTCAGCCTCTAGACACCTTCTGGTATTTATAGGGAAGAGTTTAATGCAGTCAAAGAAGACAATCTGCAACTAGGAACCAGTGATTGAACTTAACTTTGCTCATAACTGTTTGACCTTAGGTAGTTTAATAAAATGTTCTTGGACTTCCATTTCCTCATTTGTAAAATGAAAAATTTGGAATAAATGTGGAGAATTACTGCTTTTAGAAGCCAAGCAGATGACAAAATGTGTGACAGAGTCAGCAGAAGACATTAGGGAAAGGAAAGCTTATCATCAAACTGCATAGATTATACTTTTTCTAAAGCAATGTCTTTCTTACTTCTTCTCCCGACTCTTTTTCCCTCCATGACTTTGTCCAAAAAGAAAGTCAAGCAAAACACACCCAAAAGCCTAGTTCCCCTTCTGGGCACCACTATCTCCCCCTTGGATTGTGAATGTTTGTTTATTCCATCAACACTCACTTGGACTGTGTAAATTATAAAGGCTGTTTCTACCATATCAAAGTAACACTAAGGAGTTGGATTAGGGACAGCAAAAGGGACAAGGTGAATATGGGAATGAAGTATATCCAAGGAAGGCCTTTTTTTTTTTTTTTTTTTTTTTTTTTGTAAATTGCTCTAGTTCAAGAAAACCAGAGATTGAGTTGATGTTCTCTGTTGTACTGTGTCTCATTGGCACATCTTTCCAGATTCTGTCAGGAAAGGGCTCACATCTATAGAATGGTTATGTTAATCTTAGTTTTTAGCTAGTGAATTAGCCAGCAATGATATCATCTGTATCTTTGGCGGACTTAAGAAAAGGTGTACAATTAAAATGAAACTTCTTTTTCTCTGAATTACTCATAAAACAATTTTTTCTCAAATTTTTCTGGATATTGGTTATACATATATGTATAGGTGTATGTATATAGACATATACATACCAGCTTTTACTTTTTACAGTTTAATAGTTTTAACTTTTATCACTATATTTTGCTAGAATGAAAATAAAACTGTACAATGAGGTGAATTAGAAAAAGAAATGATTGAACAAGAGGAGAGTGTTTAACTTGTCCTTGAATAATCTAGAACCAAAACTAGAGTTTAGTGGCATGAAATTGTAAGGGCACTTTCAAATGTTCTTGGTTGGAAAAAGGCACAAGATATGGAGATTGATTATGTCTTCTCTTGGAATGTTCAAAGACTTACGCTTCAATCAGATCATCACTTTATGCTAGAATTTTCATCCTTTTACTTAATGCTATCTCTTTTCAGAGACCAAGTATAGAGAAGATAGCTTGAAATGCATTATGCATCTATTAAAGCAACCTTGATTTGAGGGAAGTTCATCAAACCCACAGGAATATTTAAAGGAATGGAACAAATACTGCCCCATGCTTTAGGCCAAAAACCAAAATGAAGTGAAATGTGAATTCTGGGTTCTCAATTACAGTAAGTGTAACACCTCCCTTGATATCTATATTAGAAGTACTCCATCCTGACTGTAATGTCTCAGGTTGTGCCATGGTCACCAGCTTCGCTATAGAAAAATAGCTCACTGTCACACCCATTCTTTTCCAGAGTCAAGCATAGTCACAATGCAATAAATAATGTATGATAAGAAGGATCTTTGTAATACTGAACTATAATGCTGTGTTTATCTCAACCAGGGATGAGTCTTCTGCCAAGTGAACATTTAATAATGTATGGGGATATTTTTGATTGTCACAACTGGATGTGGGGGGAAGTGCTAGTGGCATCTAATGAGTAGAAGCCAAGAATGCTGCTAAACATGCATAGCCAAGCTCTTACAATGAATAATTATCAGGTCCAAAATGTCAATAGCGGGGCTGGAGATTTAGCTCAGTGGCATAAGCGCCTGCCTTGCAAGCAGGCAGTCGTGAGGTCGATCCCCGGTACCGATAAAAAGGAAAAAGACAAAAAAAAAAAAAAAAAAAAAAAAAAAAAATGTCAATAGCACCAAAGCTGAGACACCATGATCTAGAAGCAGCAAGGCTTTGCTCATAGCTTTTGTTCCACAAGAATCCTACTTGAGAGTAATTACAGATACAGACATTATTGGCTGATGATTTTACCCACATTCTTCTGCCAGTATAACTACAGTTGCTTCTTTATCAGTGGAAGTGACAGGTGCATAAGTCCTCTCAGTTGGTGCCAAAGAAATGCCAGGTAAATCTCTCAGAAAGAATATAGCCAGTCTCTTTAATTTGCCAACTCTCATTCATTCGTCATTCATGAACTTTTAGACCCTGCTTTATTAAAGATGTGTACATTCATGTACATACACTCATAGCTGTTACTACTGATGCCAACCCCTTTAGCACATTTTCAGCTATTAAAATCTTATGATAGAATTTTCTTCGAGATTTTTTTTTCATTTTTGTACTATGCTTTTAATGTCACTATTATACTTGCTGTTTACAGAGCTGGCTTTCTCTAACTTTGGATCGTACTTTGTTTTTCTACCTATCAGTTCCCTAGTAAACTGTGAGAACAATCTTCTACAGCCCAGTCAAGTTTTGACAGACCCATGTTCCCCTTACCTTTCTGTGGTTTCATTTTTCTGCTTGTCTATGCTAGTCTAAGCTTGTGTCAGGAACTTCTGCACTGTATCTCATATCTCAGCCTAGGCAATGGTTCATTGCTTGTTTTCTTAAAAGACAGCTGGACGCTTCACAGGGTGGTCTCATCTCCATGGCACTTAGGCAGCTCTCTTTTACATCTCCCAGGACAGATGGAGGATGTTGAAATTAATAATTCACAGTATGCATGTCGTTGATGATCCTTTGTCTTAGCTTTCCATTGTATAATGAAGTACCTGAGAAAGGAAGAAAGGTTTATTTGGACTTACAATTTTAGGGATCTTAGCCAGTGATCTGCTGGCTCCATTGTTATGGACCTGTAATGAGACAGAACATGATGGTGCTGGGAGTACGTGGCAGAAATGGACCCTCAATACATGGCAGCTAGGATGTACAGTGAGAGAGTTAGAGAGGAAGGATTGAGGACAAGATATACCTACTTCCTCGAACTCAGTCCCATCTCCTATTAGCCTTTTCAGCTTGGATTCCATGGATGAGGTTAGTGTTCTCACGATCCTCTGGTCACTTCTCTCCACTCCACTTCTAGCACTATGATTTTGAGCATCAAGCTTTCAACACAAGGCCTTTTGGGAGCCAATTGAATTCCAAACCATCATATCCTGTCTAGATGCAGATATACTTGTGTGTTGTTCAGAAACGTCTTTTTTGTGTGGTTGTTCAGAAGTACTTGATGAAGAGAAGCTCAATAGTGAGCTGGGACTTAGAACTAAGGGTATAAGGAAACTGGACTAAGAAAACGAGTGAGACAGACTGAAATTCATCAGCAGTCATTAGCTCAAAAAACCTTTAACTGCTCGTTGTACAGATAAATGCTTGGCTAGTGGACTAGCAGAAATGTTACTTACATTATGTTCATGTGGTCTGTAGGACTCAAAAGTCCTATTTGTTTTCATATTCATAATTGTGTTTATATTCAGCCTGTGGTTGATGCTGGAAAGATGACTGCAAGATGCATCATTCTGAAATACCCCACTGTCCTCTGAGGAGAACAAAGGAAATGAGTATTCCTTCTATTCTTGGATAGATTAAGCTGTTCTGCGTTAACGGTGGGATAGGAAATGATAACTGGAACTCCTGTCTAAAGTGTAAGTAGCAGATAACTGCATTCAGTTGCTGTGGTTCCAGTTGAAGAGGGATGAGATTTCATCTGTCTGAATGTTATCATTCATCCCAATGTAACCCTATGTCATAGTCATAATGTGCAGTTATATGTATATTTGAAAAACACTCAGCAAGTTTTGAACTGCTATATTGAATTGACTTTAAAGTGTCATTTACCTCCTTGATCTTAGGTGTAGGGCATAGTTCTTATAAATTCCTTTTCTTCTCTGATCCTAATAATTGAGTCAGTTATTAGAGTAAAACTACAACCAAAACAAAATAAAAATCAAAGCCTGTATATTGTTATTCTTTGGAATAGTTGTTGAGTTCAGTGTCTCATTATATACATAATCTTATTTCCTTATTGCAACTTAATAAAAAACACTCTTTATTACAAGATATCTTATATACTTCAATAATTCCAAAAAATTAAGTAAGAGTATTGTAAAGAGAACTAAAACCTTATTTTGTAATCTGATGAAAGAACTCTACCTATAGGGATTTTCAACTTTTTTTTTTTAATTTTAGATACCATTTTCCTAATATAGCTTGTTAGCTTTTAGTCAAACTAGATATAAATAAATTATTATCCGTTGTCTTAGAGGAAACGTCATTTGATAGCTCTGTGGAGTGCACTTTTAATGTTAGTCAAGCCCTCTGTTTCCTTTCTAATGGATGCAATAAAGGCAAGTACTTTATTCTTAGATTTAAGGGCATAAATCAAAAGCTCTGAGAACTAAATTGCTTATTGTCTAACACTTTGATTTTCCTTTTTCCATTGACAAATCTCTTTAGAAGTGCTGAGTTACTGAAAAACTATTGCTGGTCTTCATAGTACATCTTTTTTGGGCTTCCTTACACTTATGATGAGTGAGAGGTGACCAGGCCTGGTTGGCAGATGACACTTAGTTTGTGTTAAGAGAAAGATGGGACTGGGGATTTAGCTCAGCGGCATAAGCACCTGCCTTGCAAGCAGGCAGTCGTGAGTTCGATCCCTGGTACCGATAAAAAGGAAAAAGACAAAAAAAAAAAAAAAAAAAAAGATACAGCTGTGTGGAAATAGGCTTGGTTTAGAGAAAAACGTAGTGATAAATTCAGTGCTTGTGTAGGCAAATAATAGAATTTCATTGTTTAACTTAGACCTGAAAGAGCTAGTCTCTTTATTTTAATCAAGGCAGAAAATAGGGTTGTTGTAAGTAAAGAAAGTGCATTAAATACCTTTTGGAACATGGAGTATTTTTTTTCTATTAAGTTACATCTTTTTCCCACCTGTCCTGAATTTTGAAATTAATGAGCTTAGAGAAAATGGAATCTGTTTTACAAGGTCCTGTAAAGCATAGATTTATATGTATATGTTTCCATATTCCATATATGATTGGTAATGAATCAGGTCTTTTTCTTGGCGTTGCACTTAAATGGCCCCTGGTGCTGAAGTCCTCTGGCCACTCCACAAGACTGATGGCATGGGGGTAGGGACACTGGGGAGCAAGTGAGGGACCTCTCTCCTCTACATGTAGTCTCAGGGCCTCTCTTTTTCTTGTGGCCTCTTCATAGGTCTCTCCAACAGGGTGACCAGCTAAAAGCAAACATTTCAAAGCAGAGGAAGCCAAAGCTGCCAGCCCCTTTAAAGAGGAGGCCTTGGTCCTGCATGATGATCTTTCACTGCTTTCTACTGGTTAATGCAAATTATAGGCCTAATCATTATTAAACTGGGAGGAGACAAGAAAGTGAGGCAGATTTAAAAATAGCCTTGAGGCTATTTTTAAAGATGAGCTGTCATAGCAGTATCCCTTAAATACATTTTAACCTGCAATCCCAGTACTCTGGGAAGCTGAGGAAGAAGGATCACAAGTCTGAACCCAGCCTGTCCATTTTAACAAGACTTTGTCTCAAAATAAAAATACATTTTAAGAGGGTTAGGATCATGGCTCAGTGTGAAAGTCCTACATTCAGTCCCCAACACAAAAGAAGGAAGTTAACAAAACAAAACAAAGCCTGCCTCTTAGGCTTTAAACCATTCAACAGGTGATCAAAAAGAACAGTACATGTTTACAAAAAGTATTAAAAGGCATTCCCATTAATCCCCCTCAAAATATTTCCCCTTTTTTCAAACATACTTATCCCATCATTCTTGTGACTTTCTGAATGATTCTAGAAGTCTTTCATGAGTGTCTTTGTGCAATGTGGTAATACAGGGTTGACTATTGCTACTGAGTATCAGCCAATGGAAAGACAGGCTCATAAAAACATCATTGTGTGTTGTCTCTTCCACCTTATTCACCAGCTGTGGCATCCTGTGACTTCTGGCTCTTTCCAAAGTCTAAGTGACCATGAAAGGTAAACATTTTGAATCAGTTCAAGACATCAAGGCACAATGGTGCATCTAAAAATACCAAAGAGGACTTCTGGAACTGTTTCAGGAAGTGGCAAGAACTATGGAATAAGTGTGTCCCAAATGAGGAAGAGTATGTTAAAGGGAAGTTAATGGCAATATGTCTTTCATTATAATACATTTTTTAAAAAATTTAAATAGCATAATTTCAACCATACTTCATGTATGTGTGCTAATTAGTGTCAGCCTCAATCCCCGAAGTGGTCAGTTGTACTAACCAAGACTCAGTACATAAAGTACAGTGAGTCAATAGCAAATAGGGGTTACCACCACAAGCACTTCAGCTGTTCACATCTTGATCAAAGCTAGGCCAGGCATTTTTTGTCTCCTGAAGGGGCCTGAGTATCCTCAAGGAGGAAGAGGCAAGAGGTTTTGCTCATATTAACAAGACTGAATCCCTCAGGCTGGTTTTACCTGCTCATTCTTGTGTCTCAAGGCAGGATAAGGAACATTTAGGCACTGAAAAAAAGGAGAAACTATTCTTGGGTTGGTTTTTGCTTGAGGGCAGGAAGAGTTCTGCTTTTCAATCTTGTTTGCTGGTAGCTGTGTTAAAGCACTTATCTTGCATGCTTGAGTTCCTGGCTTCTATCTCCAGCATTTAAAAAAAAAAAGTGGAAATCTGCAATTGCAGTGACGCTAGAGATCATCCTATCTAACCTCTAACCCTTAAATTTAGTCTTCTGTCCCTTATTCTGGCACAGTCCCCAGCAAGCAGGAAACAACTCTGGTTTTATGCATAAAGTGCCAGAAACAGCAGATTCTCTTTTTTGAGACTGCCTTCTTGAGTAAGTGTCCTGTGATCACTTACATTTATGGGCTCTGAGTTGCATCAGATTTTTGTTGCAGAGCGTGCCAATAGAAGCATTCACCAACTAAAATGTGCCCTGAGAGAAGGTGATGATACTGTTGAAGAAGAAGCACTGGATCCTTCCTTTAGCGTCAATGCAGGACATGAGGACACTGAGACAGCGTGGCGTGAATTGCAGCATAGCCATGCTGGTGAGTACAAGTGTCAGTCCTATCCTTGTTTTGTAGGATAGCTTTTTCTATTTTGAGACAAGCTCTCATTAAATTTCCAAGTTGTCTAAGTTGGACTCAAAGTTGTAATTCTCCTTCCTTAGCCTCATAGAGTGTTGGGATTACAAATGTGCTGCACCACCCCTAGCTAATTCTTAGTTCTTAAGAGGATGGGATTATCTTATGTATGTTTCCGACAGTAACAGAGTTCTTGATGCCTAGTAGAAATTTAAGCAATATTTGTTAGATAGCTGTAGGATAGGTGAAGAGAAACCATACTACTCACTTTTCCATCACTATAACGAATACCCAAGATAGATCAGTTTACAGAAGGTTTATGTAGGCTCTGACTTTTGAAGGTCTAATTTCATGATTCAGTGGCTCTTTGTTTTGGACTTCTGGTGAGACAGCACATCATGGTGGGAGTATTAGTAGTGCAAGACCCACTTGACTGGAGACCAGAAAGTGAACCGGAAAGAGGAAGGGACCAGAGTCCTTTTCTTTCCTTGGAGGGCATCCTTTCTATATTAGCAGGCTTTCTTGTGACTGAAACATAAATCCCAACACCTCCAATTTAAAGCAAGAGAGGTTTAATTTGCTCATGGTTTCAGGCCATGATCAGCTGGCTCAGAGACATCATGGTGGAAAGACACAACAGGGCAAAGTTACTTAGTTCATGGTGTCTGGGAAGCAGAACTGAAGGAGTGAGGGAGCAGACATAGATGCCCAAGGTCACTTTCCCAACCAGACACATCTAGAAGTGTGCTGTACCCATCACTAAGGAAGATCCCAAAGCCAATCAAGTTAAAACTTTACCCTAACCTCAATACCAACAATAACTGGAAGAAGACTCCCTACTAGGCTGTCTTAGTTACGTTTCTCTCCTTGCTGAAACAATACCCAATAGCCAAAATTAAGAAAGGAAAGATTCACAGGTTTTAGTCTATAATCAGGTAGCTCCAAAGCACGGTGGCATGGTATAGGGAAACACTTCAAGGCAGCAGGAGACAACAAAAGCAACAAGAACCAAAGAACGGGGAGAGCAAGCCTCTTTTCCTCCCTTGCACTGCAAGCAGGCCATCCCCTGGAGGGCTGGTGCAGCACTCACACCATCTTCATGCCCTCCTCTTGCACAGGTTTAGGATGCTTAAAAAGTGCGGGCCCTGGCCCTGGCTGAGTTGCTTAGTTAAACTTCTAAGCTTCCCACATGGACACTTGGTCAACCATTACATAGGCCGTGTGTCTTAAACGTTCTCCCACCTCCTATAGGGCCACGTTGAGGACTAAGCCATTGATACATGGGCCTTTAGGAACATTTCAGGTCTGAACTGTATCATAATCATGGATATCAAGCAAGGTTAATAAATAAATTTTTTTATTTGTTGTTTGTTTTGTGTGTGTGTATGTGTGTAGTTAATCAGCTCAAAGCTTTGTTGCGCCAACAAGCAAGTAAGGAAATTGAGATATCACCATCAAGAAGACGAAAAATGTCCCCTTCGGTAGGTAAAGCATTAGGTTATAAGTGTGTTTTGTACTATTTGTTGTAGACAATTTAGAATATGTAATAATAGAAAGTATTAGAAAACCTTATTTTGATTCTATTTTGATTGAGAAAGAGACTTCTATTGCAGAAGGAATATATTTTTGACTTTTAATTCATTATATGTAATTTATTATTTGTTTTAAAAGTGTTGGCAAGAGTACAGTTTCACAACTATTGAAAATATAGAAAAGAGACAATACATTTAAAAGCATAATGTTAAGTAATACTTACTTATGGTGCTGGGATTGAACCTAGAGTCTAGTGCATGTAGGCAAGTGCTATACCAGTGAGCTACTACCAGTGAGTTTCCTGGCCCATTCATTTCTTTTTTAGAGATCATATCTATATTTGGAGTTTACTTAATTAATACTTTGGTGCACCCACCTTATCATACATGATTTTGAATGTCAAACCTAGAATATGCACAGCTATTCTACATGTTAAAACACATAGTTGTAAAATAGTGTATGAGAAATCATGCTGTATTTCTTCTGAAATAATTTTTTATTGGTTTGACACAATGTATTATTCCTGATTAAAGCATTTTATATACTAAAGGCTGAGATACATGTGAGGGGTAGAATTCTGGACTAGGTCAAAATAATAGACTGGGCCTTACGTGTAAATAAGGCATGTTAATATAGTCTCTAGAAGGATTTGGGCCTATTGCACAGGAATTTTGCAGCAAAGTGAGAATCATATACATAGAATCCTTTAGATATCTATGAACTATGACACAAATATGTGCCACAGCAGCAAAATCATTATGTGTGTGATAGTTAAATACAAACTACATGCTGAAAACTGGAGACCTAACACTCTTGCTTTATTCACAGTTGAAAGGAATTCTTCTGTATTAGCACCTAACTCTGCCTGATACATACTTTTATGCTTAATTTCTACTTTATAGAAAAGCACAGGAAAAAAGAAACATGCTCAATATTTATAACTATAGGTTATAATTTTAGTAAAACATTGCATCAGTCAATGAATTTATTACGGTTAAGATCTGGTTTATAGAATGCTCTTAAGTACACAGAGAATAGCATATCTTCAAATCTGCTAGCTGAAGTTGCTGTATCTGTTGAATTTGCAGACATGCTGATTAGCTTTTTAAAGATGAAACTGAGCAGCGATATTATGGAGCTTATTGAATCAGAATTCTCTTCATGAAGAGAATTCATTTAGTATGCATATACTGTCTATTGTACTTTACCACGGCACAGATTTTTTTTTATGAAGATATGTAAAAGAATGGAGTTTAGACTCTAAGTTTATACATATTACATAATCATAATAATTATATGTAACTTTTTAGGATTATACCTTTAAAATGTACATTTATAACCAGTATGAGATATAGAAATATATGAGTATATTGAGAGTGACATTGAATCATTTGTAAGATGAAATATGTATCTGGCCATTTTAATATGTGGCTATCCAAATAATAATAAACCCTTCAAAGTATACCAAAGTATATACCAATTACTTATGCATGTTTTCTCCGCAGTATCAGCTTTAGCATCCTTATTTTTTACATTGACTTCCCTGTCTGTATATATGTGTATTAGCACAGCTATCCCTCAGTATTCATGAGGACTTGTTCCAGAAGCCCCTGTGCTTAAGTCCCTGATATAAAAGGACATAATATTTGCTTGTAACCAATGTACATCTTCCTTTATACTTTAAATCACCTCTAGATTACTTACGATATATAATATAACGTGCTATATAAGTAGTTGTTATAGTATATTGCTTAGGGAATGATGAGTAAAAAAGAAAACAGAAGTCTGTGCATAGCTTTTTTCAATTTTTTTAGTCCATAATTGATCGAAATTGTGAATGTGAAACCCATAGACGTGAAGGACTGACTGTACTGTCTGTCTTCTAGACTTATTTGTACCAATGTAGAATGATTACAGTTAATTGATTTCTACTCAGCACAGGTGGTTCATTTAATTAAAGTTACGTTGGTGTTGGTGTTATAACTCAGTGGTAGAGCTCTTGAGTAGCAAGTATGGGGCTCTGGGTTTCATCACCAGTACTGAAAAAAATAAGTAATTTTTAAAAATAAAGTTACTGGGGCTGGGGATTTAGCTCAGTGGCGTAAGAACCTGCCTTGCAAGCAGGCAGTTGTGAGTTCAATCCTTGGTACCAATTAAAAAAATAAAAAAGTAAAGTTACTCTGATTTTTAAATTTCCAAAGTCAAAAAAGCAAAAGTGTATTATTTTGCCTTGGAGCTGGTATTTATCGTTTAGAATTTCTGCTGGACTAAGAAACAGAAACTGATTAAGAAACAGAGACTAATTAAGAAACAAAGACTAAGAAACAGAGACTGATTAAAAAGTAGACTGTTTTGTCTCAAGCTTTCCTCTAAGTTTAACTCATTTACTCTCATTTTCCCCTTTTTTTCAGATTTTCCCTTAAAAAATCATTTTATTTTAAAAAATCATTTTATAAACCATTTCACAATCACTATAAGATAAGGAAAAGTATACACTGAAAATAATTCCCAGACGTGCTGCAGAGCTAAATACCATTAGAACTTTTTCTGGAATCCCTTCACTAGGATCCTCAGTGCTGTTAGTCACTAAGTTATGTATGTCTCTGCTTTAGGGCTCACATGTTGCCAGTTCTGGGCTCCAGAACAACATACTTTCAAAATCCCTTGAGTACTAGTGTCAAAAACAAGACAAAAAGCAAAACATATTTTTCAAATGAATGATTCTGAGATGGAATATTATGTCATTGACATACATTTGGCATTAAATGCTTGAGTCTCTTTTTTCATGAACTGATCTATGATATCTGCAGTTTCAGCTAGCAGACTTTTTCACAGCAGTTTCTTAGAGTTGGCTATTTTATCTCAGAATTACTAATGGGACATCACGTGGTCAGACAGCTCAAATAGGCTGTTCATTCCCAGCCAGTTATGCCACTCCAGCATTTTTCCATTTGCCATGTGCTTTTAATAACTGTTTTCACTTTCCGTCTTTAAAAATGATATTCATATCTCTGGATCTTGTATATTTGTGGAATTTACAGAGTGGAAAAATAAATACTGCTGGCTGCATTATGATATATGCTATGTTGATTGCGTATCATTGCTATATTGAGTGTAGAGATTCGCTGGTACATCTAAACATCCTTAATTTGGCTTTTTTGCCATAGAGGTCATCAGAATATGAGGAAACCAATATACCTACTGTGCACAACCTTGTTCCTATCATTAATGACCAGTCTCAATACATTCACCATTTAGAGGCAGAAGTCAAGTTCTGCAAGGTAAGTTTCTTGGTAGTTTAATTCTATATAAATTTAAACATGAATATATCAATTATATCATAAATAAACATGTGCTATTAATAGTCTTCATGTTATAGCAATTCCTTGACATTGTCATTATAATATTATTGAAAAATTGATGTATTGCAGAAACTTGTCAGACTTGGGAGTAATATTCTTGACTATGCCTTTCCAAGTTGCTAAATTTCTCAGCAGTCTATTACTATGTCTCATGATTTCATAGTATCCTCTCATATTTCAGAATTTTTTATCTCTCTATTTACTGTAGCCTAGTAGATGGCAAATGATTTTGACTACTAATACCAGTCGTTCTCCCAACATCTTCAAGCTGTGGTTCAACAATAGGGGATTCTAAGCTGGTAGACTAAATGTGTTTCCATTGTCATTACTGAAACTTTTACCTGGACTTTGAAACAGAATGAAAAATTGGATAATAATTAATATCTCGAAATCAAGTACGTCACCTATAACTTATGACACCAATTGGTTATATTGCTTGACTATATGTAGTTTACTAATGTCATTAATGCCAATTAGAACCTTTCTGCGTTCCAAATGTTTTAGGGGTTTTTTGTTTGTTGTATATTTTCTTCCTTTTATATTTTCCTTATTAGTGTATAGGTAATACGAGTATATAGGTAATATGAGTGATCTATTTAGGGGGTGTCTGGTTTGCTGCAAAATAGTGAGTTATATGACATTTTATTGAATTCACTGGTATCTTCTGTATCATGCATTACATTTTTAGTACTTTGAGTGGTCTTCCTAAGTGGAAGGCCAATATATAACTTAAGGAGCCTTTAGATGTTTTATTATATTGATTTTATAAAGGAATTCCTGATCCTAGTGTTTAATTTTCTGGTTTTTTTCTTGGAAGATGCAATCATTAGTATATAGGTTTTCTGGGATTACCAATAAAGCCAAAATAATATCCTCATAATTACTCCAACCCTTGAGGCATAAGCCTGAGTACAGCAGACCCATTGTTTGTTTTGTACTGTAAATTTGTGCTTTATCTTTACAGTAGCTGGTTGTATGTCTCAGTACCTTTCTGAGACATACAGAAAGCAATCTATGTACTTATCCACTTGGTATGACAAATGCAAGGTCTATAAACAAATACAAAATTGTCAAAACAGGATTTAAACCCATCTTTATGCCCAGCTAACTGGCTTTAAATATGTTTACCCAAGCATTACCCAAAAGACCTATACCACTTTAGGGTTTGTTTTTAAAAAGCTTTATTTTGATTTTTCTGGTAGAAGTAGCCCAGTTCAATACAATAGCACATGAAAAACCAGATTTGCACATTTCAGAGGTCAAAATAAATTATCATAACTGGCCATGTGAGCCAAAGTTCCTGTGCCAATGAGATGGAGCAGGAATCTACTGATACAGACACAGGGAATGCAGACCTCCTTACCTAAGATGATAAAAAAAATAGCAATATGAGAGCACATTTGACTAGTTGAAGTGTGAAATAGCCACACAACCAAATGGAACAAAACAATGTTAAAACTAGGTCCAAAAATATAGTGAAGGTGTTGGCATGGGTGAAACAATGAATGGAATGCCAGCACTCCCATTCAGTGTTGGAAATTGTAACAGATGAAATACTACAAGATGCTTTGAAGTACACAAAGCTGAAATGCAAGTAAAACTTTCTGTATGCACTAATCACTATATTCAAAAATATATTTATTATGACACCTCACTAGCTGAACTGAAAGCATTCATGAGTCTGCTATACTTTTTACGGTGATTGTAGAAATGTAAAAAACTTACGGAAAAGCACTGGGTCAAAATATGGCATTAAAATGTTTGTCCTTGTAGATGTGAAGACTTACTATGCTTTCAATTTAGACATTTATCTTGGAACTCAGCCAGCAAATCCTTATTCATGTAGCAATGAATCAAATGCTGTCAGTGAACAGACTTGTTGCTCCCCTCTCCCCAACTAGCAAGAATGTGACATTCAGCAATTGGTTACTGATTTCCAGTTGATGTTATATTTTCTAACAGAGCACAAGTTGACCAGTGCAGGAATCAAACACAGAAACAAAGCAGAAATTCCAAATGAAATGTTGCTATTTCAAAACAGAGAATTGTATTTAGTACAATCTTTGGAGTTCCAAAAGATATAACATTGGCCTCATATAATATGGCAAAGAAAACAAACTGGTGCTGGTGATGTTAACATTTCACCATGATGGTAATATTGATGGGGAAACCTCAACAAAATAGAAGCCTGAGATGGAAACTTTCAACAACAAATCTGAATGTGGAGTTGATGTTATTGATGAATTACACAACAACTCCGATGTCACTCAAAACACAAAATGTTGACCAACAATTGTGTTTCACTCAATTCTAAACATGTATGGCATAAATAGTTTGATAATTTACAAAAAAAACCCAATTGCAGAATAGCATAGATAAATTTTATTAGAGGATTGAGACTAGAGCTCTTAAGAGATCATTTATAGCACAAGAAAAACAAAATGTTTTTGCCCAGGAAACTACACAAAAGAATCATGGAACAGTATAGTAGAAAGTCCAGATAGAAAGGCTACTCATATTTTAGTAGCTGGGAAGTAAAGAGGGGGAAAGAGTGGGAGAAAGATACACCCTTCCATGTCATACCCACCCCCGTGACCTGCCTCTTATAGATGCGATCCCACATCCTAACAGCATATTCAGCTCTGAATTTGTCAGTGCATTAATACATCTCTGCTGTCTTAAACCACCAGTAGTGCATGCATGACTGTCCCATTAGGTGTCTTATACCAATGGTGATACATATATGACTTTCCATTAGGGAATTTGTACTGTCAAATGGCACTATCCCATGCCTCCTGAAAGGGTCATCACCCATGTATCACCAGTGGTTCAGAGCCACCCAGCAGCAGGACATATAACTCATGGCCCCATTGTAAATGTGGTAATTGACATGATCCAGTAACTTCCAAAAACCAACCTTCTGAGTGCGGGAGGCATTTGAGAGAGATTCTTGATCTAGACTAACATCCACCCCTTGGCCTGAAAAGATTCATGTCTATTTTTTTATGCAAAATATATTAGCATATCTCTAAGAGTTGCCAAAGTCTGTTACAACATTGCTGAGAAGTCCAAGTCTAAAGTCTTCTCTGAAACTCAAGCAAACTCTTAGCTGTGAGGCCCTATAAAAATCAAAATGAAAATTAAACACTACCAAGATACAATGGCACAAAGTAAATATTCCTATTCCAAAGAGGAGAAATCAGGGAATAGAAAGGAATGGGGCCAAAGCAAGACTAAAACCTAGCAGAACAAATGTAAATCCTATAACTACGTGCAGCATCCACGGCACAGTGTGGACTCAAATGGGTGGGGCAACAGCACCCCATAGCATTGCTGCTGTAAACTTCATAGTCTCTTTTTTGTGCTGGATTTTCTCATTGTCTGGGCCTTCTTCAGCTTCATATTTATAGCTTCATTCACTGTTCTCTCAGGGCCTCACTGTCTGGCATTCCAGGCCTCCTCCTAAAATCCAAGAGGAAGTCTCCTCAGCTTCACAGTTCTTGCATTCTGTATCCCCATAAAATTAGCCCCATATAGATGACACCAATGTCTGCCAACACCTTGAGCAGTCTCCAGACACTCTTGTATCATGCCTTCTTGGGCTTCTGTGTACTTGGGTGGCTGAGCACTATGAAATGAATGCTGGGAATCCAGTTCCCTTAGGCAGCTTTTCTCATGCAGGATCCCTTAGGCTGTCTTCTCAAAGTCTTTCTTTTCTGGAACAGTAAATTGCTTCACTCACTATTCTCCCCTGGCTAGAACTTCAGGAATAATCGCTGCATCTATCTATCTATAGCTTTATCTCACAGTCTTCTCTTTATCCTCACAAGTTCTTGACACTTGGTCATTAGTAGTAGTACAGTTTATCTTACTTTTCATCAGTCTACTTCATTGTTAGGAATCGCTTAGATAACTATCTTAAGGTCTTTCCACGAGCCTCAGTCCTTTGGAGAAAAAAAATGGTCAGAAACTACACATATTTGTGATACAATCCTCTTAGCAGGCTCTCAATGTGCATACCCTCCAGCCTTCTGTTTGTATATTAGCTAAAGTTTAGGTTTCTTTTCTTGTCTACATATAATTGCAATATTTTAGGAACTTTATTGAGTGTATTGTCCATACTGCATATCATGCTAGATCCTGTAGTAATCATAAAGAAAGACATAGCTTAAAAATGCTTAACATATTTGGTTTCGATTTTTTTTTAGGAGGAACTATCTGGAATGAAAAATAGGGTACAAGTAGTTGTACTCGAAAATGAAAGACTCCAGCAAGAACTGAAATCTCAGAAACAGGAGGCGACAATGAGAGAACAAACACTTCTGGATGCATCTGTGAGCATTTTTAAAACCATAAATTCTATTTTAGTTTGGATATTCCTTTACATTCTCCCCCCAGCCTTTTGAACTCCTTCTATTTTCTCCTTGATATTTGGCCAAGTACTATCTATACTGGTGTTTGCTTGATGACTCAAAAATTAGAATTCACTGTGGTAGAATGGATTCTCAAGTGAAATCATGCAGTGATACTTAATATTTACTCCAGTTTCTTCTCTGAGCACATCATTGATGCTTTTTGCTGTGTAAAGAGTGGATCTGAAAGCAGGAAGCATGTGATGTAGGAAGAACTTTGATCAGTCTAGAAAGAACCTTCCCTTAGATCTCTGCTGGATTTGTCTACATTTTTATGAGCTCTAAAATCCAATATGTCTAATCAACAATATGATATAGCAAAAACGAATATTGTTCCTAGGGCCCATAGATCAAAGTGTTAGTCTTAATCACTGTAAATAAGAAATCATTGTTCAGTAATAGGTTTTGTTTGTTTGTTAGTTTGGCAGAACTCAGAAACAGGATGTAACAAGTGGTTCTGTAGGGCTCTGCGTGGCTGAACCTCCTGAGTAATTCCTTTACTAGTAATTGAGAAGATTCACTATATCAGCAATTAAGAGCATAGATTCCTAGACTTCATGCCATGTCCTGAGAGTCTGATTTAGTTGATCTGGTTGGGTCATAGGAATATGAATTTTTATCAAATTGTCTAAGTGATTCTAAAGTCTGTTGCCTATAATTTGAAGAACAGTGGATCAGATAATTTCTATAGTTCTGTGACACAAAATTCTTGCAATAATATTTAGTGTAAACACTATTAGTGTAAACACAAATATTTAGTATAAACACTTTTTCATCTTCTTATGACTGGTCAGAGATACTTTTAGATTGTGTTTTTCATTATTTTGCTGCAGGACACAGTTAAGTCATAGATATTCCCCTTTCTGTGGCAACTTCAACTTTCCATGGGGAAGTTTCTTGCTTTGTTTTGTGTGAGGTACTAGAGGTTGAACTCAGGAAATGCTAAATGACATCCTACCTCTTTTTTTATGTATTTATTTTTATTTTATTTTGAGGGAGGTCTCACTAAGTTGACTAGGCTGGCCTGAAACTTGTGATCCCTGTGCCTCAGGCTGACAAGTAGCTGAGATTACAGGTGTGTGCCAAGGTGCCTGGCCATCGGAAAGTTTTAACACTTCCCTGTTGCGGCTTTAATTTGTAATGATTTGGGGGTTTTGATTTAGTTATCTCTAGTAAATCAGCCTTGATACTTTCTTTAGGTATCTTCTGGTTTCGCTTTTGGAAAGTTTTTTTTCTATTCTGAGTTGTTTTATTTCTAGTCGAGTTATATTTGTTAGAATTTACTTTTGAGAAGTATCTGTGTTAACTCTGAAAAATAAGATAGGCTGATTGGTATTTCAGTTTATTTTTCCATAATTCATTTAAGTTTGTAACCGGTTATTTTTCGTTCACTACTCAACTTTTTTTTCTGAAGATTTATGTATCATTACTAGTGCTTTTAAATTCTCACTTGCTTATTATTTTAATGTCAGTTGGAACAAGATATCACCATACAATGTTTTTAAAGAACAAAAATTACCTAAAAGTTTCTCCTTAAGAAAATACAGTCTTTTGCTGTCTTTTAAAATATGAGGCACACACTCAATTATTCATAATCTTCAGTATTTATACAGTGCCAAAGAAGTGGAAGAAGGGGAAGTGAAGTGAGAAAGGAAATTAGGCAGACCAGTGAATCAGAGGGCAGGAGGAGTGAGTAATTCAGAAGAGGAAGGAAATGAGGGTAGCAGCCCACATGGCTGGCAGACTGAGCACAGAGAATTTGCTAAGGCAGTCATAGCCATAAAACACACAAGGTTACAAAGAGGTTTTCTACTCTTTTCTGTGAAATTCACATGAACTAAAATATAGTGAAAATACGGATATAATTGTTGCAGATGTGTCCAGAGACGATGGTGTGGATTTTAGTGGTATTTCTTCTGTATTATTTATTATCATAGAATCGTTACTACCACTTTTTCCTGTATAACTAAAAGTGAGGCATTTCAGCATTGTATGCAGGACCTGATATGGGGACTTTTATTATCCACAAAACTTTCCAGAATTTCTTGAATATAGAGATCAAGAAAAATGATCTTTTCCAGACAAGAGAGACTTTTTTTAACGAGTGAACTAAAATGTTGGTGATAGAATTTGCCATCACTATTTCTGACTTGAGTTCTGATTTTCACCATAATGTCCTCTTTGGAAAAATAACTGAAACAGTTACATAGTACTAACTAATATTTATTGTAACCACATGGTTATGACATGACAGCACTGCATCAAACATTTTATATGATTTCAGTTTCATAGCAGGCAGATAAGGCAGTGGTATCATTTGTATTTTCAAGAAGGAAAATTAAAATAACTGGTTAAATAACTTAAATAAAAAGTTTAATGTCACAGAGCTACAAAATGTCAAATCAAAAACTTAACTGAATAATTGTCTGATTCCCCAAATCCATTTACCTAGTCTCAAATTATGCTGCCTTTCTACATAAATCGGAAGAGTTCATCAATATTGAATGAAATCACTTTCATAGCAGAGAAGAAAAGACTATTCTTTTTGGTGTCTCTCACTTTTAGCCCTGGAGTTGGACAGTGGCCAACAAGACTGTTAGCTTTTGGCCCAGTTTAAGAAGCTGAAGAAGCAAGCAGATGATTTTTCATGGTATGAGGGAACTGAACCTCAGGCTGTACACATGTGAGGCTAGCATTCTACCGCTGCACACACCAATCTCCTTTCTATTTGTGTATTTTTATTTTGAGAAAGGATCTTGTTAAATTGCCTGGATTGGTCTCATTCAGTCCTCCTGTTTGATCCTCCCAAATAGGTGAGATTACAGGCATTTACCTCCAGCTTCTAGGTGATCTTTTAAAAACTGAAATTATTCAGACTACCTTTTATGCCTATCTTCGTTTTTCACCAGTGTTCTATAAAACTTACCTTCAGGGAACTTTTTTCTAGAGTTCCAAAGTGATTTGAAATAAGTCATTTATTAGAAACTTTGACATCCTTCACTTGGACTTTTTTTTCAAAGCAGAAAATTGCTGAGCCATTTATTTTTATGTTTGGCCTCATCCCTTCCATTGCTAATACTCCTTCAGTTAAGATACATGAAGTTTTTAATTATCCTTAAGACTTAATATGTTTTTTGTACCTTAATTAAATGCATTCAAGTTAAAAATCTGTGAAAGAACAGAGTGTCCATTAGAGTATTACTTCTTCCTACAAAATAATAATATTTTATATTCTAAGTCAGCTTGGTCTATAAGCTTTCCCCAGTTTCCCTGTAAGAAATTAGAATCCCCTTCTGCAATGACTTCAGAAGTGTCTTTGAATGCACTAACGTGTTGGGAGATTGGCCTCCGCTACACAGTCGACTGTAGGCTCATTAGCGTAACACACTACACTCCTCCAAAGACCCTTATTTGATTCTCTAGCTTTATCTTCTGACTTGTACGATCTTTAATTTAATCTAGTAATTGGTAAACCCTCCTCCAAGCACCATGCTCTTTCACATCTGTATGTTTTCTCAGGTAGATTTGGTCTTCCCTCCTAGAATGATTTGCCATCTGCATATTGTATCAGGGTCAATATGAAACCTGTAAATTTTCATTTGCTCTTAATATCCCTTTTCTGTTCTGGCATAGTCCCTTGTGCACACTTCTGACGTAGAACCTACCTATTATATCAAAATCATCTACTTTGGTGTTTGTTTGGTGACATTTGGACTGTAAACCCTTCTTGGCTGAGATGGTCTTGTTCATTTCTGTCTTGGAACCTCTTGGCACAGTTTCTGATTACATTAACTTCTGTGCACATTTGCACTAAAACAGAAGAATATGAAACAGAATCTCAGATTACTACTAATGAAAGTTGAATTTACCCCATTCTAGAATGATATGACATTGTAGTATAATTCAGTGCTGGGAACCTTATGAATACTATATCCCTTATGAGTACCATAACCTTTGGTCCATAGCAAGAGTTCAATAATTATTTGAATTAAATTAATGTATTTTAGTCCTTTTTGCACATATAAATTTACCTAGATCCTTACATTGCATATTTCAGTGGATGTTTAGAGGGCAGAGAATAGCTGTCAGTTTATACTGACTGACTGAAGTTGGAATAGGTATACCAACTTCAACTCAATAAAGGCATGTTTTATTTGTTTGGCAAACTTCACACCAGTATTTAAGTGAACTAAAAGTCTGTTTTGTCTTTTGAAAAAAATTTGGTAATAAGAATTTGCATTTTCACATGGAAACCTTTGATTGGAACTTAGCAGTGACTGATTCCTTTGCATAGGACTTATTTCCTCTATTTCCCATGGCCCCTACCACTCCTTTTTGAATCGCCAAGTCACTTCTCTTTATTAGCACCTTAAAGGCATAATTGCATAATGGTTTAGGAGATTCAAGGAAAACTATTCTTACCCCACTTCTGACACCAAATGTTTGAGTTTTTTTTTTCCTACATGAAGTCATTTTACATTACTCTGTAGACACCAACTGGGTGTCTAGTGATTCAATTTTGACACTCGTTACCCATTATGGGCATCAGAATCCAAAGACTAAGGACTCAATCTCACAAAATTACCCCATACTTTAGATGCCAATACCAAGTAGTCAATCTCCACATTACTCATAATTCTGTCTGACTTAGGTACAAATTGAGAGTTCCTGCAACCCATTCCTCATACTGGCATTTTGTTATAATAACTCAGATAATTTAATGAAGCACTTTGCATGCTATTACTGATTTACTATAAAGAATTTAGATGAACAACTAGATGAAGAGGTAGCTAGAGCAAGGCCCAGAGCTTCTGTCCCCAAGGAGTTGAGGTGTGTCATCTTCTTGTCACATGGTTGGGTCCACCAACCTAGAAATTCTCTGAACCCCATCACATAGGATTTTGTGGAAGCTTCATTATGTAGAGATGACTGATTAACTTACTGGCCTTAGATAAGTGAATTCCCCAGCCCCTCTTTCCTCTAGAGAGAGAGAGAGGGAGTGATCCAAAAGCGCTAGTCCTCTCATTATGTCTTGTTCTTTCTGGCATCCCCTAAAGCTATTTAGGGACCCCGCAACTAGTTATCTTATTATCGAAATATCTTTTTTTTTAACATAGAATTGAACTCAGGACCTTGTACTTGCCAGGTAGGCGCTGTGCTGCTGAGCCATATCACCAGCAGTTATATCATTATTAGGAAAAGATACTCCAAATATTATATTAAATATTATATTTAATATATAATATAGCATTAAACGATCTCGTTCTCTCTGTCTCTGTCTCTCTGTCTCTGTCTCTGTCTCTCTCTCTCTCTCTCTTTCTCTCTCTCTCTCTTTTCTTTTTGGAGACAGCTCTCATTATGCATTTCAGGTTGGCATTACAGATTCCAAGGTGGCCTTGAACTCACAGCAGTCCTCCTGCCTCAGTCTCCCAAGTGCTGGCTCAAAAGATGTTCTTAACTCTCAGAAAATTACAATGATTTTAGGATCCAGAGACAGAGATAAAATAATACATTTCTTACAATTTCACAATCATGAATTCTGGAGCCAGATTGCCTGAGTTCAAATCTTAGTTTTTCCTCTTTTTAGTCACTTCCCACCTCTGTGACCATTCATAAGTTACGTGAAGCACATAAACCAGTGTCTGGCACATGGTAAACAACACATGGACTTGCAATCGTCATTATTATTAGCCCTGCCTCTATAAAATGAGCAAAATGAAAGACTAAGTAAGAGAAGCCTGCATGTTTCAAAAGTGTATGTCTTAGGGCTGGACCTGTAGCTCAGTGGCGGATCACTGCCCTAACATGTATGCAATCCTAGGTTTAGATCATAGTACCACAGAGAGAGAGAGACAGAGACAGAGACAGAGAGAGGAGAGGAGAGGAGAGGAGAGGAGAGGAGAGGAGAGGAACAGAAAAGAAAAGAAAAGAAAAGAAGAGTGTAAAGAATAATTCCATTTGGCAAAATTAGTGACATCCATTCCTCTTTGCTCGTATTAGGACTATTGCCTATACCTGGTGGAATATGACTATAATAAGCTGAAAATATAAAATGATTCTTGACATGTAATTTAGAAGCATATGCTTTTTTTCCCATTGAACGTGGTTGAGAATCAGTATTCCACTTGTAAAGTATGCATGTTTATTTAAAGTTGAATGCCAATTGCAGTTACTGGCACATTTTATTTTAGGGAAACATGCAAAATTCTTGGGTTACAACAGGTGAAGATTCCAGAGTGGAAGTTGCCAAGAGATCATTTTCCCATGGCGATGGAGATATTCGCAAAGCTGCCAGCGAGGCTGAAAAATGGAAGCTAGAACTGGTAAGTATTTGGATGCTTTTCTCATATACCAGCTTTTTATTTTTCTGTTTTTTACTTTTTTATCATGGTTAAATGTATGTAGGGCCAGGGATGTAGCTCAGTGGCACAGCGTCTGCCTTGCAAGTGCAAGATTCTGAGTTCAATCCAAGGTACGTATATATAATTTGCCACTTTACTTTAAATGTGTGGTTCATGTGCAGTAAATATATTCACAGTGCTATATAAATCATCTTCCAAACACCCTGCCTGTTAGTGCATGAGCCCTTGGAAAAATATTCTCAATCAAAATTGTAACAATTTCATTTTTATTCTTATTTGTTTCCCTTCTTTTTCTGTCTTCTTTTAAAGTGAGTATTTTTGTGATTTCCTTTTATTTTCTTTTATTGATCTGAAATGATCTTTTGCACCAACATTCCCTTGATTCCTCAAATCAGAATCCATGATTTATTTTTTAGTATATTTTTTCTCTCCGGTCAATCATAAAATTCAGTCATTTTAAATCTCTCTTATTTAAATATCTTAATACTTTATTAAATATTTCTGTACTTTCTTTTGGATCCTTATTGCTTGACTATTTTTGTTCACATGCAATGACTTATTTGCCATTTTCTCTTTCTCTATACTTTTGATTTAAGATTCAATTTGATAAAAAGTTGACTATGTGAGTCATGTGAACAAAGATCTCACTATATATTTTTATCCTCACAGCCCAGCCTTACCTATGTATCCTGTCTTCAACCATTTCTCCACCTAGCATTTCACATTCTGATAACACTGATCTACAAACTATCCAGAAAAATAGTGTTTATTTTCTGCATGGCTCACTGGAGCAATTATATATAATTGAAATTCTTCATCTATTTTTCTGTTTCTTCCTAAAATATAAGCTTCTTGAACTTTGGGGCTCTTTCATGTTAGATACCAAATAAACACTGATTGAATAAAAGAATAATTGAAGACCACAGTCTTATGGATGGTATACCATTTGGCATATCATCATGTAACTTGTAATTTTACCTTTTATTATTTATTGAACACATATTGTGTCAAATATACTGCAGTCACAATGGAGGATTTCCCTTCCCACACCTGTAATATTTGAACTTTGCTCTTGGGAATCTAATAGGTTACAACTTGTTTTTCTCAGTCACACTTTTAAGATTAAGATCTGATGTATGCTATTTTGAAAGAAAAAAATGTGTCAGTAATCACCTTTTTATGACTCAATAGTTTTCAGTAGGTATTTATTCAGTAAAAATAGAAAATTTGGGGTAAGATAATGTTTTCTAGGAATATTATTTTGCTTTTTTTACATAAAGGAAAACAATTGAGTTTACTATCATTAAAACTTGCTTATAAAACAAAGGACATGAAAAAACTGGACTTCTTTTTTTGTTTCATTTTCTGCTCCACAGGAGAGTCTAAAACTTACATACCAATCAAAAGGTGAAATTCTGGAATCTCAATTGACATCTTTGAGGTAAAGTGAAATCATCCATTAGCATCTGTATGCAAAAGCATAATGATTTTAAAATATTTGAATGTTTAAGGAATTACCAGTATTACCCAGTGTTAGAATTACTTGATAATATTTTATATGCAATATAAAAATTTATTCAGATTAGTGAAGGCTGAAAAGCATTTTGAGTCCTTTTCGAAATTTCGTTTCTGAGAAACAAATGATAAAGTTTATCCCTATAGTTACAAGATATTTGTATTTTCTTCTAGAATAAAGATTGCTAGCTATTTCTATGAATTTCACTTTTACAGTTAAAGTTTTTAAGATATTCTTATGCCTTTCATAGCTTACTCTGATGAGTTTTTAATTTCTGTAGAGAGTTTTACTCTTTGTTAAGAAACCTAATATTTAAAAAAATAGTCTAATTTTTGCTTTCTTGCTTTTTACCTTTGCTTTTAATACCTGTTTGATTTTATTCAGTTTTTGAAGTAATATACTTCTGGTTCATTAGACATATAAGAACGTAACATACCTCATTCAGAACTCAATTATGCCACATTTAATTACATTAAGAAACCAACTTGCAATGAATTAGACTTTGTTCTCTGCATTCTTCTGTTTCTTCTTTTTAAAATTTGAATATGATTTAAGATTAAAGAGGCATTTTCTTATAGAAAGGATAAAATTACTATTCCAAAGCTCTACCTATAAAGCTATTATTTTTAATTTTATCTTTTGCCAGTTTAGTAACTAAATCTACTTATATGTTTTGGGGCTGAACCTGACAGAAATTAATAATGGAACACTTAGACTTTAGAATATGCTTCCAGATGTCTTACTCTAGAGCCTTTGAAAATCAAACTTTGTCTATATGATACCGAAAGGAAAACTTCACTATGTTAGAGATGCTATCTTGAAGTCAGAGTGAAAACGCCCCACCCCAACTTAAAGCTATTATTACACTAGCTTTTGTTAATCCTTAGATTAGCCATAGATCTTTCCATCTCTTCTGCATTCGTAGAGAGCCCCCAAATTCCAGGAGTTTAAAAAGTGCCTGACAGCCAAGTGTCTTGGTTTTTGGCTTTTTGTCTATGATGGCTACCAAGTTAATGATAGCTATAGTCCCCTGGGTATAGAAATGCTGACAATAGGATAGACAGAGCTGAACATAAAGTGGCTAGCTTTAGCAGCTCGGGAACTTATAGTATTGGCTCCTTTTTAGGGTAGGGAGTTGGTTTTTTAAAAAATATACAACAGGAGCTGGAAGTGGTGACACACGCATGTAATCCCAGCTACTTAGAGTCTGGTTGAGGTAGGAGAATTGCAACTTCAAGACTAGCCTGGGCAACATAGTAAGACCTTGTCTTGAGAATATATCTCTGTGTGTGTGTGTGTGTGTGTGTGTGTGTGTGTGTGTGTGTGTGTGTATGTGTGCGCGCGCAAACTTACAATGGGAAAGAGACACTAGGCAACAAAGCTCAGGTGCTCAAGTTGACTTTACCAAAGCATTACTGCAGTGGTAAGCAGAAACACTGAAATGACAGTCAGATTGGAGGCAGATTTGTTTACGTTGCCAGGCACTAATCAAGATCGTTCCCAGAGTATGAGGACCTGATCTCTGGTGGGCTAAGGCTTCTACATATAAACAAGCAGGAAGTAGAGAGGCGGAGTGGCTTTTCAGTTGGAGATTGGTTTATATAATGTGCATTATAGTGACCAGCTATGTAACACAGTGACAGCTGTGTCTAAGCAATCGGAACTGGACCATGAACTATTAACTGAACAAATAAAAATGCAAGTATACTGGCCAGAGGAACCACTTTCTATGAGGAAGGAAGAAAATTCAAGTCATGTACTGGTCATGTAATTCTAAAAAGGCCAATTTGCAGAAAATTTTCATCTAGAATGAACCAAGAACAAGCAAAATTCACGCACACGTGCGAGCACATGCATACTACAACCATTTTCTCTCAGCCCTTTCTTTAGCAACCTGCATACTTCCAATTAAGAGCTGCTGCTTTTGAAATGGCTGACAAATTGTATTTGACTTCTTTCTGTAGCCTACCTTCTTTTGAAACAACTGTTTGCAGAATTTTCTGGTTAGATGATTTTTAATACTTGCCTCCTAAAAGGGAGATACTAAATTAATCACAGGTAAAATTCAAATTCTTTACACAAAAAGTTTGCATTTGAAATAGGGTATTTCCTTCATCTCAATGATGTTGTATTATATTGTCTCACCCCTTCATTAAGGGAAATATTTAGGGTTTGTTTGTGTTTTGTGGACAGTGTACCAATGAGGTAGGATCCTATTATAGGAATCTAATTTGTTTGAACATTTTACAGTGACTTGAATTAATTATTTAACACATTCAAATCTTATTCAGTGTGTCAGTTAGGATAATCACACCTGCGTTTCAGGATTGTGGTGGGAATTAGTAAGGTATTGGTATTGTATATACTCAAAGGGAGTAAGGTAGCTATCCATACAATTAATAATAGTAGTAATTCACTATGATGATTCATTTGAAAGTAGTATACTGTTACCTGGTGACCTCATAGTTGTTGGTTTTTTTTTTTTTTCCTTCTTAGGAAAGACTTAGCTGAATGTCAGAAAAATTGTGAAGATCTTAAACAGCGACTAAAGCATAAAGAGTCTCTTCTTGCTACTAAGGTCTCCAAACACGTTGGTGGTCTTTGTTTGAAGTGTGCTCAGCATGAAGCTGTTCTTTCCCAAACCCATAACAATGTACACATCCAAACCATCGAAAGACTGACTAAGTAAGTGTGCTTCTCCACACAGGGCCTTTGCCAACATAGAAAACTCTTGTCTTTAAAGGATGTGTGTTTATGCTAAATCATATGTGATTATGCTAAGCTTCAAAGAAAGTAGATTTTAAACATAACTTTATTGTAGCTTCCTTGAAGAAAGATCGGGTGGTTTCAGCTAACTGTGAGTAACCATATCACTTTAGGCCAAAAATATTTTCTCTTGGTTTCAGCCTCATGTTGAAGGAAAAGAATTCAGCTGAATTCTCTTTATAGTTCTGTTTAGTTCTATGCTGTAATTCTAAATCTACCCCAATTCTTAACAAGAAGGGGTGTGGTAGGAATTTCTCCGGCTTTGCTTGGGTTTCCCTGTCCTAGTGTAGGCGGAAGGAGTTGTTACCCTGCCTTCATCAGGTGCCTGTGGTGAGGAACATTGTGAGTACAGGAGGGACCATGCATCATAGTGGTAATTGGAGAGTCGCCCAAGGACACATTACACTTGAGCATTTAGGTTGTCAAAAGTCTTCAGCTAGGCTGAAATACTACAATTCTGTGTGCACCTTTTTTGTTCCATTTTCACTGTTCTATTAGAAGCCTTTTTCTGTGAAATTTTTATTTAATGGAACTTGAGGATTATAGCATTCAATAGTAGTTTGGAGTATGTGTTTTCTCATGCTCTCTACTTTTTTCCCATGTTCAGAAATCACCTTCTCTCTGCTCTGCTCACTTCAGTAGCCCAAACATCATTTCTTTTTGGAAGTATTTTCACTAAACACTACCCCATTTTGTCCTCAACTGACTATCATTCTCCTGTGATTTTATAACATATTGTGTACACTGGAGGCAGCAACTATGTTTTGTTTATTTCTCTAGCCCTGGTTCCTAGCCTGGCCTGCAGTAGGTCCTCAGTGTTTCTGTTTGTGCCTTAATTCCTTTATTTTAAACGTGGTAATAGAGCCAGGCATGGTGCTTCATGCCTGTAATCCCAGGACTCAGGTGCCAAAGGAGGGGTATTGCCATGAGTTTGAGACCAGCCTGGCTACGCTGTGAGATTGTGTCTCAAAAAGTTTTTATAAATAAATAAATAAAAATAGTAATAAACATACCTAACCCAGATTATATTTTATGGGCCTTTAAGGAATATAATGTTTAAAATACTTCCTGACCTATGTTAAATACTAAGTAAATACTGAAATGCCTTGGTACCTTCCAAAGTGCAAGACCACTCAGTGTATCTGATAGCTTCCATACATGGTTGACCTGCTGGGTACTATATTAAAAACTGAATCTCTAGTATGGACTGGCTGATATGTTTTATGATCTGCACAGATGGTTCTGTTTTTGTTAAATATTATATTGTAAACTAGTATTACATTACTGTATTCATATATATTTAATATAACCATTAACTATATTAAACATAATTTCTCATCCCTATAACATTTAGTGAACGTTTATTATTTGCGGGGGGCTGTGCCATGCAATATAAAAACATAATTTCTTAATTTTATCATTTTTTTTTGCGATAGATATTATTACCCCATATTATAGCGAGGCAAACTAAAGCTCAGCTAAACTAAAACTTTCCAACTTTCCTGTTTATATTTGCAAAAAAGATAATAGAATTGTATCTTATAAAAATAAATTCAAGATAGGTTATAGAGCCAAATATAATTCAGACCATCATGAATTAGAAATATAGAAGATGTGTTAATAGTCTTGAACTTGTTATAGTGCCAAGCATGACACGAAAAGCAAAGATCATAAAGGAAAAAAATGACATATTTGACTCCATCAAAAAAGAAATTTATGGGCTGGGAATGTAAGTGAGTAGTTGAGTGCTTACCTAGCATGTACAAGGCCTTGAGTTGCATCCCTAACACTGCAAAACTAAATAAATTGAATTAAAAATAAACTCACTATAATAAAATATTTCAAATTCGGTGAAGAGACTGGGAAAAATATTTGCTGTACATAACAAAGTATTAATGAGAATATAAAGAATTTCCTTTAAAACAAACAGAAAACAACAAAGTGCCCAGTTGCACAGTAAGGAAAAGAAATTAGTGAATGAGATATCAGTACACAAGAAGATATTTGTTCTGCTAATATTCAAAGAAATTCAATCTCAGGAAAGAAAAACCAGCCATCAGAATGGTAAAATTAAAGAACACTGATCATTCCAGGAGGTGTAAGTTCATAAGTAAGTGAGTATTTTCATATACTGCTAGTGGAAATGTAAATTAGTACAGCCCCTTTGGAGGATAATTTAGTACTATTTATTTAATATTTAAATTATTCATTGTACTTTAAAAACTACAATAGAGAAAAACCTTATGACATGCATAATTAGACACTTATGGGGAATGCTTTTTTGCAACATAATGGTATAAACAACCTAAATATCTTTCAAGGAGAGTAACTATGATTTGGATAAACTACATGTTGTGTATAGGGTAAAAAAAAAAGGAAGGGGGAATTTAAGTAGATCTATCTGTACTAATATAGGACTAACTCCAAAATATATTATTGAAATAAAATAGCTAAAGATAAAACCATTTGTATTTTCCATGGCCATATATAGCAATATAGCATATTTTCTTTAGTTTCATGCATATGCACAGAAAAAGATGTAAAAGAATAGACATCTTATTTTTAATAGCAGGTAGTATTGGAGAGATAGAAAAAGGCATTGGAATTGAGTTTGATTGAAATTGGCTTGTAACCATATTGGTAACTAATTTTGCAAAGACAATATAATGAAAAAAACCTTGAAGAAAAAGCACATTACATGCAACTCAGATAAAAAGAGACAGAGTTTAAAACTAGAACAAGAAAACCAACCAACAAGTGAAAGACAGAGTTTCTTCCTCCTACTGTATTTCCTTTCATATTATCCATCCCTGTAGGTCATGAGAAAAATATTTTAAAAGGAAGCTACAATGTTTATATTGGTTCCAAGTCTGGCAGTGATTTAGAAATTGGATTCTTGCTCAGTTATATTCCTTTGTCTCTGTCCTAAATTTGATCTCAGGCTCTTAAAGTTGTGTCAACCTACTTAGTTCAATTTATTGCCTTGTCAGCATATCCTTGTCTCATCTTCTGCTTTAATAACAGAATAGAGTGAAAGTTTTCTGCTCTCATTTTCATCTAATGTTTTCTTTGTCTGTATGCTTCCCTTGGCTTAAGCTAGTGTTCAGCTTCTCCCAACATGTGAATTGCACAATATTGACTATTGAGTGCCATACTGACTTTGTAGGGTAGCCAGCCCTCTGTAGGTTTAGATTTCTAATTTTATGCAGTCAGAAGCCTGACCCCTCAAAAATCTGTTATCACAGTATTTACTACAAAATTTTAATGTGAGACTAAAAAAATTGTGCCCTAAATATGGTAAATCGAAAGAGTTTGCTGTCTTGGAAATGTACTCTGGCACCACCTCTAAGCTGCCTTGTTTAGTATGTACACTTTTAAAATCACTGCATGGTCATCATAATGGATTTTCTTTTGGTATATGCATGAGTGTAATATACTTTGATCATTTCTGTTCCCCATCTCCCCCTGTTTACCCTCACCCCAATAATCTCCCTTCTTAGAATGTACTGTTTTAGCTCTATCACACAAAAATGATCTGTGCCACTGACAAGGAGGAGATCAGACATAATTTGGAGGCCAGACCACCCATATATTTGTGGTATTTTGTTAGAGCCTTAGGGACGTTTTGCCAAGTATATTAATGACTGTTGATACATTTTTATCGCTGATATTTTATACTATCTTTGTAGTGCTTCTGAACTTCTTCCTTTCACCCGGACCTCTTTAGGCCATAAGGGAGGTTAGAGTAACCCTTTTTTTTTTATTCTTTTGCTTGCTGCTCAAGTACCTTCAGTGATAATCAAGATAGAAGGGCTCTATATTGAATTCCTTGATTGTAGTTCAAAATACCTTGGAAAAAAATTCAGTGCTTTAAAAAAAAAAAGAAAAGAAAAATAATTACCATGGAACTATCCTGGGTCTTCAGGCTCTCTTGTGATTTTGGGTGGGTCACTGGCAGTGTTCTCTATAGTTGGCTTTGAAAGATACACAGGAACTTCCCAGAAATGAGGAACAAAGAAATGGGTGTTTGTTTTTTTTAAAGTAGTAGAACTCATACTTAATGTTATTTAGTGATGCTTAAAATCAATAACAAGGAATTAAGAATTATAAGGTACTCCATATTTCAAGATAAAACTCATATATATATATATATATATATATATATATATATATATCAGGCAAATTTTCTACTTAGTTTTAAACGCTTGGCTGGGATTATTAAGAGACCTTTTCAGTCTTTTTTCCTGCACCAATTGTTCCACTAAGTTCCTTAAATGTTTTGTGCTTGTTAGTGTATGTGAGTCCATGCTTTTCTACCCTAGAACTGACACTCACACTCTACATCATCTCAGCTGCCTTTCAGGAAGCTCACAGAATGCTGAGAGGTTAATACTGTGTTGCTTGCTCTGTTTCTAGAACTTCCTTGGTCACATTCATCAGAACATTCACATGATGATTTTTGGAAGAACTTTTGCCTGCCAGATGGTAATTGAGAGGACTTCCCTCTCAGTCTTCACACTGACACATCCTGTGATCCGTGCAACTGTCTTAATGATGGCCTCCCGCCAGCCTGGCTCTAGGCTGGCCTTGTGACCCTGGGAGCTCTGGGGTAGGACTACAGTTGCCTAGGGAGTTACCCTGGCTGGCTGCAGTTGACTGTTCCTGAAGAGCAGATAACTAGTAGCCTGTTAGATCCTAGGGACAAGCGGGGCTGAAAAACATGAGAGGAGTCAACAGAGTGACTGTCGGATGAATATGGGAATGGGTCCAGAAGCTAGGCATTGTGTGCCAGCCCAGGGATTCTTATTTTTTGAGTGCTTACTATTTTATATATGCTGAGTGGGTTAAAAGAAAAAAAGCAACTGCAGTGTTAATCTTAAATTGCCAAAATGGCTTTCCCCAAGCTTCCTGTATCAGCTATCGGCCACCTGGAAAGTTTTGTCAGAAAGTTGGAGAGCGTTGATCCAGTGGTTCTGCACATGTGTAGGGAATCCTTTTACACACTGCTAAATGCTGAGCTTGTTGATAATGTTTTGGGGGGTTCATTTTTATTGATTTTTTTGTAACTCAACAATTTAAAGTTGTTGAGTTTATGTTTTAAAACACTTTTTAACTAGAGTAACTAAACTCATTATTTTCCAATTCTAAATATCCAGATGACTCTTTCAGTTTCAGTGCTAGAATACTAGGACTGGAAAGGAGATTTACCTCACTTCTTTTGATGCCTGGCTGTTAGGAATCTCTTTATTCGTGCGTTTGCTCTTTTGTCACTTATTACCTTGAGCATTTACTCTGTGACAAATGCTCCCCTTGATAGGAGACCATCCTGGAAAGAGATTAAGTATCTGTCTTAAACATGAATCCCCCTTTAAAAAGCAAATCTGCCTGATTTTGACCTGTTAAGAGCTGTTAGCACACTTAGATGAGCTGAGCTATTTTATCCATTGTTTTTATTTAAGCTTTATAGTGGCATAGTATCAGGCACACAGAGAATGTTCTAGGGAGTCTTTTGGAAATGCAGATAAATATAAATTCAATTTTGCTTGCATTGAATTTATTTTTTACTTTAGCGAAAAAATTTCATTTTGCTTTGATTCTCCCACTTTTTCACATAATGTTGTGCTTAATTATAGTTAATCAAGACAATTTACTCCTTTTTTCATTTCCTTTAGAGTAAAAAATTAATGTTTCTCAATTTTAAACCAGTAATTTCTAAAGAGTGTCAGAATCCTTTGAATTTTATACTCATAGCAATTTATTCATTTAACAAAAAAGCTTTATGCAATTGCTAATAATTTTACTTTGTCCAGTATTATATGTTTCTTAAAATATGGCTGCTTTCCAAATAACACAAACTGTTCAAATTATTTTACCTTTAAGATTTTTAAAAATGGAGTCAGTGATTAATTGCAATTCAGCGTTTATAATCATCTGAAGTATGAGTCTTCAAAGTTTGCTAAATTAAAAGAAATCACAGCTGGCTGTTTTCTGATGGTTTAGAACTTGGCAGTGAAAAGGGATCTGCAAGCATTTACTCCTGTTGAATTTGAAACAGTTTAAAACCTGTACTCTTTAATAAAGCATAGAATACCATATGTAACAGCCCGACATACTTTTTCTTCTTGGCTTGTTTATATAGAAAAAGTTCCCACCTCACTTTTTCTTTGGTCCACTGGATATTTTTATTCAGCCGATAAATTCCAAATACTTTGGAAATTTTATATGGGATTTATTTAACCCATGGGATTGGATCCTTACTGTGTTACATGCCAAATCATTTTGGCATTCTGTTCACTTCTTCCCCTAATGAACAGTTTAACTTAGGGGATTTCTGAGAGTTGCCGGGGGGTGTGGGCTACTTGGCAGTGACCAAACCCAGTGGGATAAAGTTTTGTTAAATTGTGAAATTAATATGCATAACCAAGAGTTTGAAGGTTTCAACAGTACTAGCCTTTGAAAGAAAAGAATGTGTTCATAAAAGCTGAAAGAATTTAACTGAAAGAGAAGAATCTAAGAGAGGATTGTGAAAGGAGATAAAAAAAAGGAAAAGACATACTTGTTCAAATAAATGAGAGAAAAATCAGTGATATTAACAAAATCTTGATTGTTTCCTCCTCTTTTATTTCCTCCTCCTCTTCCTCCTCTTCTTCATCCTCTTCACCCTCTTTCTTTTTTAAAATGAAACTAGGGTTGGCTTCTCTTCAGATGACATAAAATTTTATTTAGTCCCTTCTTTAATCTTTGAGATAGAATACCTATTACTCTGTTGCTTTTTCCCTTTTCAGCTTCCCTTCCTTTCTCTCTAACTAATTTCCTCTCTTTAGGGCTCCCCCAGCAGCCCTCAGTATGCCAGCCCTTCCCACAGTGGGCTATTGTCCCATGCAGATGCCGCTCGGCCACGAGTGCTCTCAGCCTTTCTGGCTGCCAGGCCTGCTGCTCGCCAAGTGAGGACAGAGGCTCATTCTCCGGGCTGAGCCTTGCTGTGTGCTGAGCCGGCCCTCCCTGGCTCTCCTATCATGTACCAGTGCTCCCCCGCCCCGACTTAGGAGCACGCAATCATTTGATCATTCCTTCTTTTGAATGTTCCTTTTGTACTGACAGGGAAAGAGACGACTTAATGTCTGCACTCATTTCTGTAAGGAGCAGCTTGGCAGATGTGCAGCAGAGAGAAACAAGTGCTTATGAGCAGGTGAAGGAAGCTGTGCATATGACGGAGGAAGCCAATTTTGAAAAGACCAAGGCAAGTGTAACAGGATGAAGATAAAGGCATTGTAGAGCCGCTGTATTTTTTTCTAAATGTGTCTGCAGTTATTCTTCCATAACTAAGCTTTTCCCAAACACACAAAGAAAATACCAATATGTTAAAGTTGCTTTTCTAAACTGAACCAATTTGCTATTTGGAGAATTCTTATTTCTCTGCAAGTATTCTGTTATATCACAGTGGACCCTTGACTTATGAACCCAACTTGCTCCCAAGGGCAGGTTGTAACTCAGGTTGTCCATTGAAGGCCCAGGCTCCTTTACACAGCCCTTAAAGCCCCTCTCCTGTCTACAGGCAGATTCTGTGTCCTTTCAGAGACATTGGTCCAGGATTTCTCAATTAAGCCCAGATGGGAAAGGAAGTGGTAATGTTCCTTCCAGAACTCTTTAAGGGTGAAATGTGTATCTGAGACCATCTGGAAGCACAAGCAGCCAGCATTCAAGTCATAACTCAAGACTTTGGTTGTAAATCAAAATTAAAATTCCAGTTATAACCTAAGTTTTTCGTTATGTCCGGCTGATCATAACTCTAGGGTCCACTGTACTATTTAAAGATTGTAATACAATATGATAAAGTGCTTTGAGAGACTTGTACGCCTAATATTTTTGTCTTTTTATTTGCTCCTTTTTTCAATGCTATGAAAATCTTAACAGTCATAGTCAATCATTTGTATATTTTTTATGACTAAAGACAGTTATTTTTTCTCAGTACCTGGGAAATTTTTAGAACATCTGCATATGCCAAACATGGTAATATACATATATTTAGTAATATCTTAACTATGAGTTTGAATCCATTGTAAGCTAAGTCAAACATGTTTCATAATGATGATAATGACAACAGTAGTTAACACTAGTGATTGGATACTGTTTTGGGTTCTAGGAACTTTGAATAATAGGTTACTCTTGAATCGTCTTGATTTGTTGCTGCATTTGAGAATAATCTTCCTGATTCATTGCTGTGTTTGAGGATGCAGCTTAAACCAAGGGTGGCGAATTTTTTTAGAGCTTTCAGTGATACATGCAGCCTGCTTCAGTATGCATGCCATAGGTTTGCCACCATCGGTAAGACATCAAGCCATTAAGCCATTAAATTGCTTTGTATTTTTGCTAAATTGCTTTGTATTTTTGCTGACCATACCTCAAATGATTAATAACCACACAAGTGGCTAGTGATTACCATAGTGACAGTGCAGATATAGAATATATTCATTTGGAAGTTATGTTGGATACAGGTACTAGTTGATCATCTCTAACCTGAAGTGCTTGACTCTGAATCCCTCCCTCCCTCCCTCTCTCCATCTCTCTCTCTCTCCTTCAGACTGACCCAACTCCCTCATGTATTTCTTCATTTGTCCTGAACTCTGTCACCATCTTCTGATGATATTCTGACTCTCAATCTCAAGCAAAGGCCCGCTGCCATTCATTTCATGTGGCCATGCCGGAGAAGTTAGCATTTACTTCTCTCTTCACTGCCATTTCCAGGCCTTTGTCTTGGCACCTGCTCTTGGTTAGCTTCCTCTTTAAAATTTGCTTACCACCTCTCTTTTGAAAAAGATCAACCTCTGTTCTCCCTAATCTCAATGGAAAGTGCCCATCTAGAAAACACTCCTTGATACTTCTTAAGAGCTGTAGCGTCTGAGCCTTTCCCCTCCATCCTGTCTCCTCTCCTGAAAGGTATCAACGTCCATGCTGTTAATAAAACCAGCAGTAAATAACAGCTATTAATAAAACCAGCTGTTCATAAAAACCAACCTTCTTCAGCCTCTGTAACTCTTAATATTTAACTCTAACTCTAAAATCTCAAATTCTGATGCCGCTCTCTAACCAAAGCTTTTTGTCTTCTTCCTGGTTAAATCTATTCCATGTCCTCTGGTTCTCCAGCCTGTCCCTTTTAGATCTCTCATTTTTTCCTTTTGTGTTAGGGCTGGTCTTCTTCCCGTCTCACTTAAATTTGAATTTTAGAATCTCAAATAAAACTCCTTATATCCGCCCCCCCATCTGCCCCTCTCTGTGTTTTCTAACTCAGTGAATGGTACCTTGTCCTCTGCAGTGTCCTGACAGGAAACTGGTTGTCATCCTGGCTTCCACCTTAGTTTCCAACCAGTCACTAAGTACAAATTCCTACTTTCTGAAATTTTCTTAAATTTTTTGTATAATTTTTCTTGCCTACCAAATTTATGCCCAGCTGAAAACTACTCCAGATTACATTTATCAAAATGTATTGTTATTGCTTATTAATCTCTGTATTCTTCATTAAACTTTGAAATCTTTGACAATAAGAAATTGGCCCACCTTGTGCACTGTTAAACTGCTAGCACCTTGCACAGTGGTGAGCACATAATAGGGACTCAGTAACAGCTCCTGAGGAGTTCACCTCTGTCCCCACTAGCTCTCTAGAATTCCTCTGGCCTTACCTTGCCAGTTTACCTGCTTTGCCAGTTGCTAGGGGAATTACTCTCTTACACACATGACTTGTTTATCGCTGTTTTCAGCCTACCATCCATTGCTGGATGAATTCGTTTAAGTCACTCATTGCGTTTCACTGCTGGCCTTCGGTACTTAGTCAAAAGCTGCTTAACTGTTTTTTTTCTCTGCAACTGACTACATTATACACTCTACACACGAGCCCCACTTCCATACTCCGCCACTTCCAATCCTAGCACCTCACTCTGGACACATGACCCATTTCTCAGTGTCTTCTGATCCCTAACATGTCACTTCCACTTATTTTTTCTTTGTTTCTGGGCTTCCTCTTTCCCAAGATGAATATCTTCCTCTACGATCTTCATTTCTTCTGCTTAGAGGGTCTTGGGCCCTCACTCCCTTGTATCCACTACATCATTCCTGCATCCCCTTCCTCCTTCACCCCTGCCTTCACCCCCAGTTCCCTATAAAACTGCTGTCTCTAAAACAAGAAGCAGGCTTCAAATGACTTGCTTCCCCTGAGTTCCTACCATCATGTCACTGGCAGAACTTACAGTTGTCTACCTGGTGGCTTCCCTTTTACTTCTGATCACATTACAGCGGGTTTTCAGTAAATCACAGCGTGATTTCATGCGACTGAGTTGCTCATGTAATGATCTCTGGGCTCTTTCTGATTACCAAATCAGGTGACTTCACCTCGATCCTCACTCAAACATTCGTGTAGTGGTGGAAGACACTAACTGTCCTATCACAACACAGTGTAGCATCTTTTCCTTTCATTTAGCTCATTTTCACTCTTTTGGATCATCTTTGTATGGTTCTTACTACTCTTCTGGTTTAATTTGTTTTCCACAGCCCTTAAATAGAGACAGTCCTCAGAGGTGTTTCCTAGACTTCCACCCATGTTGGAAGTCTCTCCTGCCTCAGCCTTCTGAGTAACTTGTATCAAGTTTTTTTATGCAGCGTGTACAAACTATTGCAATTGCATGATAGTTGATTTCCCTCAAGTTTCTTCACATGTTTTACATTGTTGCTTCTTGGGCTTCTGAATTCTAAATCTCTGTATTCAGGTAGCTCCCTTCTTGCAGTAAAATAAAAGACAAGTTTTTAGCAGATCTTTCATAGTAGTCTGGCCCTGATCTATTTTCCCTAGACTTAATTTTCACCACACCCTTTCATATAAGCTGTTACCATTCCCAGAACATGAACTACAATTGACCATTTTCAAGAATTTACTCCTGCTAATGTTTTTTTTGCCCTGTGTTGGTCTGCAAAATAGCTATTTAACAGATGACGCTCATCTCTGGTGACACAGTTCCCAGAATTTTCCTCCAGCCTTGTCTTATTTGAATTAATCTTTTCCTCCTCTGTGTTCCTACTGAATGTTATAATATTTTCATGGCTGTTTATATAGCTATCTCCACCAAAAAGCCACAAAAACCAGGTCTATGACATCTATCACTGTATTCCTCACAGGACCATTTACATATTAATTGCACAGTTAATGTTTGCTGAATAGAAGCTATTCATTAGTTTTAAATATTACTGTGGAATTTTGCAATTAATGCTTTTTAAAATTTAACAGTTAAGAACAAACAAGGCATTGTATATTATGAATCTAGCATTCTTCACTGAATTAGTAACATAGGGTTGATTACTAAGCACTTTACAAAATAAAATACAAGGCTAGTAGTTTTTATTTAGATGTGTTAAAACAGGTGAATTTTGTTTTCAGAGAATATTAAAACATCAGGGTATTGATACTTTAATTTGAAATTCAACTACTACTTTTATTACTGAGCTAGGAAATAATTTGTTCTTTAGTTCCTTGACATTTGTTGCCATCTAGTGTGCTATTTGTGTATTGCATGCTAAGTAGGTAGGAGTGATAGTTATACTGTGTATTTGCATTTATAGTGGCAGAGCAAATGCCCAAGGATTTCTGTAAGGAAATAAGTATTTAATCTGAGAAGATTACAGTATGTTGATCAGGCCAGCATACAACTATCACGAATAAAGAAATCTCCCAGAAAAAGATTGAGTAGTGAGTCTTCTGAGAGGGAAAAAGATAATTTCCCAGCGTCTCAATACCGGTAGTGATTCTGATGGAGGGAATGGGAGAAGCCACCACCCCAGAACTCCAGGAGAAATGCAGTGCCGGCCTAGTGACGTGGTCATCTATGAAGATGTCATCTCACTGTAGCTGGCTGTTCACTGACCTCATTGTTACAAACTCAATCCTTTTGCCTTTGATGATGGCCAAGTCGACCATAATGGGAAAGGAGATACAATCAGCTGGAATTCTGAAAGACAAAAGAGGGAACCCTGAACTGAGTACAGGAAGAAACAGTAGTGCTGACAGCTCATAAATATTTAGTCATAAGGAAGTCCCAGATCTTCTAGTGAGGTTCATTATAAGAGAAATATTTTGAAAGGATAAATTGATTTTCTATTTCCAATAATTACTAACCATTAATATTTTGTTCATTGTGACTAGATTTAGATGTTAATTAAAATCAAAGAAAATTGAAGTAAAAGCTCACCAGGATTGTGGTCTATGTCTGTAATCCCAGGACTCTGGGAGGCTGAAGCAGGAGGATCACAAGTAAGAGCCCAGCTTGGGCAACTTAGTTATTTTAGTGAGACTCTGAGTCTCTGTCTGAAAATTTATAATAAATCACAGACTTACTGATTGGGAATATAACTGTATAACTCAGTGCAAAGGCCCTAGGATCAATCCCCAGTGCCTCAAAACAACAACAAAAGTGAGAAAATAGGAGATCACCAGTTATACATGAAGAGACACCCATTATCAGCTGTTAACCTAGTTTTTAGTTTTTTTTAAATTTTGAGATAGGGGTGTCAGATTGAGCTACTTCTCCAGTTCCTTTCAGGTTTTATACTGCGACATGGTTTTTTCCGCAAGTCACAGAGTTGCTCAGGCTGGGCTCAAACTTGCTATTCTCCTGCCTCAGCCTCCCAGAGCGCTGGGATTGCAGAGTGTGCACCACACCTGGCTTATTTTGTGCCTTCTGCAGAATCATCTTATGTAGGTATTCGGCCTCATCCTAGCAGGATCTTTATTCCTTGTCCTGAACTGAGTAAATTCTTTAGCTGCTCTTCATTGGAGCCCGGTTTTTAGTTCTTCAGCAGTCTCCTGCACTTAATCATGCTGATTCCCGAGGTGTTCTTCAGTTGAAAATTACAGATTGGATGCCTGGCTTTGCATTCAGTAGTGATTTTATTCATTTCTACATGTAGTGTTCAGTATATCAGTCAAATTAGTTGATGTAAAATATTTTTCACAAGAGTAATTGTATTTTGAAGCCCCAAAGTTACTGATTCATAATATTTAAAACTCTAAGGGCTTCAATTATGGAAAAATCATGCTTTTTCATTTCTTTTAAAATCTAATTTAAAGTTTTCTTTCCCAGGTATTATCAACTAGAATTTAGATTGGGACTAACTCCCTAGGGGGAAAAAAAAAACTTTTGTCATTTTTTTACTTAATTTGACATGATAGAATTTTATCCTCATACTGTACGTGTGCTAGGAGCATAGAATCTTTGCAGAAGAGATCAAAATTCCTTTTGACGCTTATTGCTTTCTAGATGAAGGAAAATTCATATGTCCTAGAAAATGTTTGTCTGTATCATACCATTCACCAGAGGGAAGTGTAACAGTACATAAGGCAAGTGTATGCTGAGACTGGTTTCCTCACCGTTACCAAAAGTGTGACTGTCAAATTTATAATCACAATATGTAAGTCACTGCAGACTTGTGTTGCTTTCTGCCAGCTGATGGAAAAATAAAGGCTGAGCGAAGTGGATGTTAAAGATAGGAGTGGCTGGGATGAGACTAAGATACTGTAACACCTTGTTTTTTTAGGAGTTTTTAAAATTATGATTTTTGAAGCTATATTTTACTATGGAGCATCATATCATATAGGAAGGTATTGTTGTAAATGGGGACAAAAGGACATTAGAGAGTTTTTATTTCTGGAAATACAGAGTGGGAAATTTATACTGAAGGACAATAATGAACTTTTACCAGAATTAGAATCTTTATAAAACTAAGGAATAAATTGTGCATTGAGTCTTTCCTTTTACTTTTGATTTCTACCTAATTTCTATATTAATTGTATGTTTTAAAGGAATGAACTAAATTTTATAGTTCAGGAATCTTTGTTAATATACGGTTAAGCAGTAGGAACTTTTGTGTAATAAAATACAACACTCAATCTTATTTAAGAATTCTTACATTTACCCCTTAAAGTATTCAAATAATTCTTATTTTTGAGGCCATGAAAATCAATCACATTTATATGTTTGAAATAGCACTAACATGATATGATTAAAATAATAGAACAGATAGTTTTACTGAACTGTTTTCAAATTCTGACGTGTCTGCCGCCCTCAGCAAGGGCTGTTGCGCGAATTTTCTAGTTGCTTGGTTAACATAGCCTTAATTCTGAACTTTGAAATAGTTCAGTAAATGTAACAATTGAGTACTGTGTAAGTGGCTCATAAATGAATACAAAATCAGTCTAATAGACTTCACAGTGAGATGTAACTTTTAAATCAATCAAGACTTAGTCTCATTCTGCCCCCTTCTAAACTTCTCTTCCACTCTCTTCCTCGGGCAGGCTTTAATCCAGTGCGAGCAGCTCAAGAATGAACTAGAGAGACAGACAGAGCGACTAGAAAAAGAACTTTCATCTCAGCAAGAGAAAAGGGCCTTCGACAAGGAGATGATGAAAAAAGAAATAGCAAAAGAAAGGGAAGACATGGAATCTAAGGTAACTTGTCATGCACGTTGGAATGCTCGTGATAATGGCACAGACAAATCTAGGGGCTACCATTCTTTCTTGGGTGAACTTTAGTTTTTAAAATGTTTCTAAATCAAATGTCTCATAATTTAGAGTTCATTAAAAATTGCATATTATTTCATACATTTCTCATTGAGGTTTATTATCTGACTTTTTGAAATAAAATGATCGGTTGAATTCCATATATTGAAATTCTGAATTTACTTTAACCCTGCTGTTTTGTTCTGTTTTTTTTCTCATTCATGTTTGCCAAAGAAAAGAGGGTTCTCTGAAGATACCTAAACTTTATATTTGTCTAAATGAAGGAAAAATGCCCCCCTTTTATCTCAGAACACAAATTAAACATGCATAAGATATAAAACATTTATAAGAAACCAAGTAATCAAGAAAAACTGATTACACATGTCATAGGAAATCAACTCAGACAAACGATATGATGAATAATGGCCATAACCAGATGAACAAATGGAGGAGAAAAAAATTAAAGACAAAAGGAACAGATAATAGAAAATCGGCAATGTTTAAAAAAAAAAAAAAGTAACAATTTGGAACCTAGCTGTAGACCAGGGAGCATCACAGCAAATATTTAGAAAAGGCATATTATGGGGTATATAATGCCCACATTTATTTTTAGGAGTATTTCTACTGATCAATTGTTAATTTTAATTTTATGAGTTTACTGTATTAAACAATGTGTACTTAGGAAAATAAAATATCCATAAACTAAAATATTAAATGTTTAATATGTAATAAGTATATAAAAAAACAATGTTTTTAATATAAACTGCTTACCTGCTTACAAAATCTAGAAAATAGCAACAGAAATACATTTCTATCTGAACTACAATGAAAATACACACAAAATGTATCACGGAAATAACCTTTCCTTCAGTTATCACAACAGTCGCAAGACACTGCATGTTCTGTACACTTAGCGTTCCTTTCCTGTCTGACAGATCATCCTTGTCTCCTCTCCTGTCTTCCTCTTTTATCAAGGGCTTCCTATTATATCATACAAGGTTCACTTAGCAGGAAAACGAAATATCAATAAAACAAAATATCACATATACATTGAATCTATAGAATAAACATTAACATTTTCCACATCAACTGTTTGCTTGATAAATCTAAAAGATAAGAAATAAATTCCTGTGTGAACTACAATGAAAATACAAATAAACTCTGCTACAAAAAGAATCTTTATTTCAATTATCACACCTAAGGCAGTTTTCACACAAGAATAGCATGGCCCATACACAAGTGTCACTTACACTGACAACACCTGTGGTTTGTTTTCCTTCTTTGGTAGGACATATTTGACATCTTGCTAGTCTTCCTGCTTTCTTAGGAGCTGCTTGCAATGTCTCACCTGTCTGTTCTTTGATCTGATCCAGAATTCTTTTGAGGAGTTCTTTGGGCAGATACATATGTTCTTCCTCTATTGTAACTGATCATTTATCAATTCCAGTGCCAATCCTCTAAGAACATTTCCCCATGATATTTTCTGCTTGTTATTGTCTTTGTAAACTATGCAACTATACCTGACATGTTTAGGATTGAGTGAAACCCAATCACTGGCCAATGCCTTGTATTTCAAGTGGCATCAACATCCACTCTGCCTTTCATTTTGGTGTAAAATATGATCATTTCTGACTTCATTTGTGTTGAGAATTCATTATCATTGTTTGTTTGTTTGATTTGAGACAGTCTACCTATGTGGTTCAATCTAACCTTGAACTCACTGTGTAATGCAGGGTGACCTTGAATTTAACCAATCCTCCTGTCTAAGCCTTCTGAGTGCTGGGATTACAGGCATGTGCCATCATGCCAGCCTCACTATCAATATTATCATTATAGTGTAACATTGATAGTATCAATATTGCTTTGTTTTTCTTACCCATGTAGAAGACCAATGTTATGTCTTTCTGAAATCCAAAGACTATTGTGAACTTGCAACGTTTTTTTCAGGAATGTCGGCTTTGTTTTTGGGAATAGTTCTTATGCTGGTCAACTGGTGTTCTTTTAGCAAATGTAACCTCAGTGGGTAACTAGTAAGCCAATGGGAAATGTGATGTTTGTGTTACTTTTTAAAATAGGTGCAAGGAGGCTCCTCATAAAGTCATACAGTTTATTGCTGCACAAAGAAAGGCCTGGTGGCTGAGTTTCAGGATAAATTTCTAAATTCAAGGTGCAAACTGTCTTTGCATCTACCAGGGCATGTATTTTATACCATATTTGGAAGGTTTATTGGACATACATTGCTGAAAGCTCCAACAACCATGAAATGATGAAAGTTGTTTGGCAGTTGTCACGTGTTCAGATGGTGTATAAATTGCTTGACAGTTTGAAACAAAGCTTTCAACAAATGAGTGAATCATAGCCAAATTGTTGAATATTTTTCTTCCTTGGTAGACCATTTTGAAGAAAACCAAACCTTTTGAGTGTCATTACTGTATGATGAAGTCCTGCTAGGAAGACTTTTCGTTCAGATAGGTGATCTGATAAATATATTTTTGAGGATTTCCATTGATGCGTATAGAATGTTCTACTTGTATTGCATTATTAGTGTATTTCAAAATATCTCATAGCGTACTCTATTACCAACAGTTTCCAACACTGGAATGCAATATTGGCTTCTATCTAATAGGATTCACCCTTGGCAAGAACCTAATAACATTTTCTGACCTAGTTCTAACATTGGATCATGGATCGTTCAGATATGCATGACCGTTTTGTAGCACTTTTTTTGGTGTGTGTGGCAGGGATCAAACTCATGTCCTCGTACTTGCCAGACAGGTGCTTACACCACTGAGCTAAATCCTCAGCCCATTTTGTAGCACTTTGACTAGTCAAATATTTATTTACTTTACTATTTCTTCCTCATCTGAATCAAGGTCTTCATTCTGTATTTTTCTGTCATATATTTCCAACTTCTTTGGCTTACATGATCCTCTCAGTAGCTGAAAGTTATAAAAGCAGATTTTCATGCAACATTGTACTGAATTGGACTAATTCTACAAGAGAAATCAAAAGAAGAAAACATTTAATAACAAAATGTAGTATGGTGCTTACTGTGGGTGAAGCTCAACCATGACATTTTGATGCACGTATGCTCACCTTGTCATGTGTTGCATCAAGTGGGTCAACACAAAAATTGCATGCTGTATTCCCCTAGCACAGCTACTCAAACACACAGCCAGTTATCATTACACTAAAGCACATATTTTCATTAGAAAAGTACAATACGGGTGTCTATGTCCCATTATGAAAACTGAAGTTAAAATTGCTATAACAGAGTGAAAACAACTGTTTTTAAAGTGGGTGCACAAATATTTTTTAAAGTGAACTCATAGCTTGTCCCCTAAATTCTGCGTCATCATACTCCAGTGTGTGACAATTCTCATGCAGCAAATACTTACTGAATATGCACTGTGTACAAGGCAATGTGCGGGCCTAAGGATACAGAAAAGGAAAATGACAACCTCTGTTCCTTTAAGTGTTAAGGGTAAGCTGAGGCATGTGCTGTAAACTTCTTAGTCGTCTTGATTTTTTTAAAAAGTATGTCAAAACTACCTACCTTTGCGCCGTGGATTGGTGATCTCAGCTGGTGGAAGTTCCACTATAAGTGGCCCCTCCGCTCTCAGAGTCTTTGTTGTCCATACTTCTCTCACTGCTCTCTAGCGGTCCTCCTGTGCATACCTTTCTCTCCCATTGTTTCAGCATTCAATGTGTATTAATTGGAGGGGCCAGAGTTGTGTTAGTTATAGTTGTATTAGTTAGTATCATTACCTCATGAAGTACATTAAGCAAATACTCTTATAAGTGAGTTTTCAGTTACGATTGTGATACAGCCTTAAAGATTTAAGACAAAGTACTGTGAGTGTGGGTAAAAAGGAAACCTGAAATAGTCTACAAAGTCGTAAGAGACTTCTCAGAGAAAGGCATTTTGAAATAAGACCTAAAAAGTTTAAGAAGACAATCAGATAGGGAGAAGAGACTTTCAAACACAGTAAAATGACACACCCACAATTCTGAGGATGAAAGCACTGTACTTTCTAGAAATTCAGAGCATATCCCCATGACTAGAACATAGAGGGCATCTTAATTGTCTCCTTGCTGGGACAAAATGCCTGACACCCAAAGTTAAAAGGGGGAAAGGTTTATTTAGCTCACAGCTTGTAGAGGTTTTATGCTCAGCTGGCTCCAAGACAGGGTGGCATGACAGAAGGGCAACAGTTCATGGTAACAGAGATCAGCAAAAGCAACAAGAGCAAAGGGGGAGAGGTAAACCTCCTTACCCACCTGATACTGTATGCAGGCTGCCCACAATAGGGCAGGTGTAGCACTCACACCCCCAATCCCAGGAATGGACCATGAACCAATTACAAACTCTAGATTTGGCTGCTTCAGAAAAGCCCACCCCTTATGACTGTCTGAAGCTTTGGGGGGACATCCAGACACCAACTATAACAGGGAGTGGGGGACAGAGTGGTACAAGATGAGTTTGGAGAACAAAACAAGTACCCAACCATGAATGGCTTTAAAATCTGTGTGAAAATTTTTAAATTCTATCCATTAATTTATGAATGGCTTTAAACTACACAGTGTCATAATGCCAATTATATATGAGAAGAATTATTTTCCCTAGATTATGAGGAGAACCAGAATTGTGGGTGTCTTACTTTTCGCTCTCGTTGCTGAGACAAAATACCAATGCCAAACATGAAAGAAGTAAAGGTTTATTTCTTACAGTTTATTTCTTGGAGGTTTCAGTCCATACTCAAGTTGGCTTCAAGAGAGCATGGTATGGTGAAGCAGCCATTCATAGCCACTGCAAACAGCAAGGCACAGACCTGCAAGACAGACACACCTTCTTCCCACCATGACATTGTTTCCTGGCTCCACCCCTAGGCAGGTGTAGCACTTACACCACCAATCCAAGCACTAGACAATGAACCAATCACAAATGCTAGATTTGGTCGAGTCTATAATTGCGTGAGGCTTGGTGGCCTCAAGTGGGACATCAAGTGTGAGGCAATTATAGTAGTTCAGGCAGGAAGGGATGGCATCTCGGATCGTTTTCCAAGGCTGTTGGCTATCACTTTTATACTCTTCCTCTTTACTATGCCACATTCTCCCTCATTCTCAGAAGAGAGCCTTACTTAATAAAGAAACTTGACTAATAAAGAAAAAGCCATTAGCTGATAACTACTTCAACTATTTATCTTCTTTCTCACCTTTGCCATGAAATCATGTTCACCTGCATCCTAACCATGTCAGAAGGGGAAAGCCTTAAGTCTAATATTTACCCCTGCTCCCATGGCTCAGCCCCTTTCCCAGCTGAAGGAGCTTGTTTCTTATGTCCTTCAATCCTTATCTTCAACTTTTCCTTCGCTGTAGCGTTTCTTATCATCAGGAAAATCCCAATTTTCTCCACCTGCTCAAAGACACACTCTAGTCTAGTAGATTCAATCTTTAGTACATAAGAAGGTACAGAAATCTCCTTGCCCAAACTGTGCTCCAAACCACCTACCTCAGAATATCTGCGGGTAGATCCAGGTGTACACGTTAAAGCTGCCCACATGATTCAGCATGCTGCCAAGGTTGGAAACCACCTCAGCAATCCCATATGCCTCCTTGCTCTTTCTGTTACTAATTAAGTTTCCTGCAAAACTTGTTCATACATACAGCCTCTATTTTCTTACCTTCCATTTGCTCTTTACCCCGCTCCACTGCGGCTTCTGTGCCCATAGCCATTGAGATTACCATTGCTGTATTCACCCAAGATCTTCCTATACTGCATATACTGATTTTTTCCATTTTTATTCTCCTTAAAAGTACTCTTTCCTGGATTTCATGCTATCCATATTCTTAATTTGAAAAAATGATATTGTGTACCTGTGAGACAAGGAAAGAGACACATCTAGAAAGCAGCTTGGTGGAAGGTTCTGTAGTTTAGTTAGCCGTGAGATATATTTAAGAATCTTTAGCACTACTGTGACTCCAGTTCCATATATGTTATATAGACTCCTAGATCTTTAACTTTCTACTGAACTCCCAAACCAGCTTTACTTCCTGTCTTCCTGGTTCCAGTGGAACCACTGTTCATCCAGTTACCCAGCACACAAATCTTGTCACCTTCCCCTCCTCACCTTCTCTGCACGTCTCAGCACTGCTAAATTCTGGGAGGTGCAAGCCCTCAGCATTTCACGCCACTCTGTCCCTCCCTCCGAATGCTGCCCCTTAGATGGTTCCTGCAGCCCTTTTGGTGTCCTTGCCTCCACGCTCACCTCTTTTCCATCTGTTCTCTCAACTTCAGCCAGAATGATATTTCTAAAATGAACATCTCAGTATGCCAGCTTTGAAGTTCTTTCATGTCTCTCTGCGACCTTGGATAGAATTTAGGATCTTTTACCATAACATAAGATTCCACTTCGTTTCTCTCTTTGGCTCTATAGTCTCTTCTCGCTTTTGTTTTTTGTTTTTTATTGCCTCCCCACAGTGTGGCCCTCCTCCTTCCCCAACATGCAAACATGTCAATCCCTCATAACGTTTCTTTTCATTTTTGTGATTTTGCATGTGGTTTGCTCAGGACTGGAGGAATGTCCCTTTGTCCTCTTTAAATGATCCTTTAGAGTTCTGGACACCACTTCCTTTTACAGCTTCCCAACACTGAGCTGGGATTGTCTCCATGGGTCCCCACTGCTCAATTTATTGCAAGTTCTTGAATAGTTTGCCTCTCCTAAGTTACTGTGAGTCCCTTGAATGAATAATCTAACACTGTTTGAGGGTACTCCTATCACATAAAATGTGCTCAGATGTATATTTGTTGAATAAATGAATGATATACAAGGAAAAACAAAAGAAGCCCTAAGCCATTGAAAAGATAAGCATAAAATGCTGAGAGTCAAGAGGCTCAGAACTGATCCCTGTCTGCAAGGAGTCATGGACACCTTTGTGGACAAGAAGGCATTTTAACTGAACCTGGAAGAATAGGCAGGATTTAGAAATAAGAAGTATAGAAAAATAAGTGTGGCTCACGATCAGTGTGAATATGCAATGGAAGGAGATGAAGCAGAGAATTGAGTATTGTGTGTGAGAGAGAATGGCATCGATAGCAAAGACCAGCTATTGTCCACACCTCAGAAATTTTTGTTTTGGGATTGTTAAATGCAAACCATTTATCTTGCTGAGTAGTTCTGCAGTATAAAAATATGCTGATGAAAATTCCTGATAAGAAAGGGTAAAGGAAGCCTGAAATATTCCTGGCCATGTGCCGGGTGCATTCATGAATAATAGAACCTCTCACTAAAACTAACAGTGAATAAGGTGACGACACAAATGTGATACATTTCAGAGCCTGAGTCATTCAGCTTTATTTTGCCTCTAGTAAGCTTTGATGTCAAGGCCCTGTCCTAAAGAAAGAGATAGGAATCAAGACTTGACAGTGGGCCTCGCATTGAAGTAATTGTTCTTCCAAAGAAAGCGGGTTTGTAGCAAAAGGGATTCCAGATTGAAGCCAGTTTGACATTTCTGTGACCTTGGCATCTTTTAAACTTAAATTTTAGAAGTAAAAACTAAAGCTGATAATACTTCATGAATTTAGGATTAACTAAGATGATCTTTTGAAAGTGTCATAGTGCCTAGTTCATAGTGATCACCAGATAAAATTTAGTTTGTGACTCTTATCATTCATTCTTATTTTAGAGAAAAAGAGAAGTAGCCATGTTGGATAGCTTTCTTGAAACTTCATACTGTAAAAACAGAGAAGCTTGAATATAAAACCTAGCTTTACCTTTTATTTATGATTTTGAATGTCTTGAACAATGAATTTTCTGAATCTCATTTCAACTGAATTGAAAATTAATCCAATTTCCAATTATATTTGGATTAATCCAAACCCAATATAATTTGTTATTTAAAGAAATGGAAATAGAGAATATATATCACTCTGCATAGCATAGAGCATAATCTACTAGAGTAATCTACTAAGCAGTTAACTATAACGCTGTAATGCTAGGTAAAGTTAGTGCTAGAGAAGACCTCCCGGCTTTTCTACCAGGAGGAGCACTAAAGAGACTTATTTTTCACTTATGATTTTTCCTCTTCCTTTTCTTTCTTCTTCTCTTTTTGAAAAATCCATTTGTGTTGGAAGCTTTAAGAGAGCAGGTATCGTCCACCCAGACTGTTTTGCATCATTCTGCAAACATGACTTGTTCTGAGTGTGTTTGTTCCCTTCAGCAGTGGTCCTTGGTTGCACTGAGCCCATTCAGTTATCCACAAATAACCGAGTGAACTAACAAGCTGAATGGCTACCTCCCTCCACACATTTCCTCAGTTGGTTCACTTGACAATAGCACATCGCTAGAATCCTTAATTCTGTGTCTCCTGTACAGAAAGTACCACTTTCTACCATATCCAATCCACGAGGGACTGCTTTGCAGTCTCCCAACCTGGGTGTCCTTGTCTCTTCCTTGCCCCTGTCAAAGTTTAAGGACTTACCTGATGTCACCGTCTTGGACATCCAGCAGTGTTGCAGCTGTGTCTGTGTTCCTTCTGGCTCTGCAACAGATGTGAGTGGAGAAGCTCCTGCAGTGTGATGCTGACTTCCAGATGGTGGGCGTGGGGAAAAGAAGGTGTGACAACAGGAGAGGAGACCTCAGGAAGGGGTGACAGGAGGCAGCAGACAGGTAGTGGGCAGAGGAAAGAATTGATGGGTGGCAGAAGGAGGGAGTCTAAGGAAAGATGAGTTACATTCCTTGTAATAGAAACTGACTCAGAATTTACAATTAGCAAAATAAATGTCTGCACATTTACTTCAGAAACTTTACAACATTAATGTTACCATCAGGTAGAGCTCCTCATAAATATGTAATACATGATTTTTAAATAACTAGTTATTTAAATTTGTTGTCATGATGTGGCTCCAAAGAACCTGTAATTACATTTTCGTGATATGAGTAATCATGAACTCGGATTCTTAAAAGAAGGAAATTATTTTGATACTTGTGATTTGTTCTGTTTATCTTCTTTTGACCTTTAATTTTAGGTTGAGATTTTTATGTGCAGAAGAATACTTTGTAGTTTGTTATTAGTAAGGCTAATTTTATGTGCAAATTAGATTTGTAGATAATCTTTTGTTAAGGACATGTAAACAACCATAAGTCAGATATATAATTATCCACACTCTTCAGAAAAATTAATTAACTCATCTTCCTAAATTAAAAATAGCTACCAACCTCATTTATTTTCAGATGGGTCAATTTAGCTATTTATATAATTCAAAGGCAGATACTTATCTTGGTTTTATTGCCATAAAGCTTTTAATTTATCGTAAAGGTCTTAATTTTACCACAAAATAATAGTTATTGACTTTAAGATTGAGATTTTAAAATTGTCAGAGCAGAATGGTAAATTTCCAGTATCACTATTTCTAATTTGTTACCAGATCTTGTTTTAACAGATAAAAACTGATATCCCTATGTTTTGCACTGGGTTAGTGTTTTTTTCACTTTAAAACTGTAATTCAGCTAAGAAAATTAAGAGCCTTAAACAGTTTGACTCACTGAAATAGAGTAAAATATAATTTGAAAATCTATAAAGGATAACGCTAAGATCTAGAAACCATTTTTGACCTTGAGGGACTAAAACTAAGCACCTGATAGTCACCACGTTCCTTGAAAAAGTCATTTATTTTAACTGTTAATTTTTCAAACATTTGGTACCTTTAATGAACATGCCCTTGCAGAACTTCTGTCTAATGAGGAAACAAGTGCCCATCAAAACAGGGTGAGAAGTACTGTGCCACAAACAGAAGTCAGATGACCAGGGCGTACACACTGGGTCTGCTGGAGGGCACGGGCCAGAAAGCTGTAGAAGAGGGGCAACAGCCAGCCAGAACAGGCGTGGGGGCTGCAGACCACAGGCGTGAGTGCCCGGGACGCATTAGCTGAGTGTCAGCCTTTTGGTGTGAAGCAGCATCATTTCATACTGGTAACTAGAAGTCAAGGAAGAGGAGAGGAAATAACGGTTGAGCTGAGTCCTGTAGAAAAAATAGGGGAGCTCTAGATAATGGGAGTGCAGGTGGGGTTTTCCCACCAAAGGAGCTGCATTAGAACTCTCCTTTGTTGGTATGGGGTTTGGGGAGTAGAATTCGTGTAGACCAGTAGCACTCTCTATAGATACCTTTTCTTCTCCTCCTCCTCCTCCTCCTCCTCTTACTCCTCTTCCTCCCCCTCCCCCCTCCTCCCATCCCTCCCATCCTCCTCCTCTTCCTCCTCCTCCTCCTCCTCCTCCTCCTCCTCCTCCTCTTCCTCCTCCTCCTCCTCCTCCTCCTCCTCCTCGTACTCCTCCTCCTCCTCCTCCTCCTCCTCCTCCTCCTCCTCCTCCTCCTTCTTCTTCTTCTTCTTCTTCTTCTTCTTCAACTCTCTAATCAGTCCTTTCATGGGTCCATCTGGGGCAAGGATCCATGAGTTGTGTGATTCCTCAGTATCTCCTCTGAGATTTATTGATGCTGTCTGTTCCATGACTTAATTGTATCTTTAATACATGTCATCTTAGAGAGTCTAACAAAACTTACATTTCATCAGCTTAAACACTTTCTATACTAATATTAGAGCCTAGGGGAATGAGGGGGGAAGTACACATTTCAGGTTAAAGGAGACATGATTTGAAGAAGTGGAAAGTAGGTGTACCCTGCCCACAGAGAAATGACTTAACAGAGTTGAATGTCCAAAGTGGGATGCTAATAAACTTTTAGTATGTATTTTGTCAAATATTTTTATTACTCACAACTTTTATTTCCTCTTACAGATGTTGATCTTATGTCAAAATGTTGCCCAACTGGAGTCCCAGGTTGAAAAAGTTACAAGGGAGAAAATTTCTGCTATTAATAAACTAGAGGAAGTTCAAAACCAGCTGGCTTCTCAGGAAATGGATATCACAAAGGTGAAAAAACAGATTTTAGTTTAATAATTACTTAAGTATGTATTTTATTTGGAAAGAAAACTGTTTTTGAGGCCAAGTTTCATTATGTAGTGTAGCCCAACTTTGAACCTCCCGTGTAACCAAGGCAGGGCTGATCTGAAGCTCAGTCTCCCTGCCTCGACCTCCTGAGTGCTGGGATTACAGATGTGTACCACCATGCTCTGAGAGGAAACTTTTATTAATGTGAAAAGCTCTTACTACTCTCAGGAATAAGTTGGGAGTGGAAAATGTTTATTATTTCAAGAACAGTAAAAATCTGTTAGTCACTCAGCAAATAATTACATACTCTCTACATCCCCCTTTGGTGGGCACTGAAAGTTCAAAGATGAATTAGATACAGAGTCCTTGAAGAGCGTAAGGATTAAGTGGAAAAGACAGACTGGTAAGTAAGAGTTGCCTTTTATTATTGAATATTTGCTAAAATTTGTATTCTAAATTAGGAATGTGGTCATTTCAGCAGCACATATACTAAATTAGTCAGGAGTGATTTTTTTGCCATAAATGACATAGGCTTGCTCTTTACAATAACTGTCAAAGATGTCTGTTGACACTTGAAAAGTGTACTTAAGATAAAAATTATCTTTCTCAGGGCGGGGATTTAGCTCAGCAGCGTTAAGTGCCTGCCTTGCAAGCGCACAGTTGTGAGTTCAATCCCCGGTACCAAAAAAAAAAAAAAAAAAAATGTATCTTTCCCCTACTCCTTTTCCAATTTGGCCTCTAATATCAAGGCTCTAATGTCACAAGTTTTTGTTGTATTTATGTTTCAGTGTATATACTAAAATACCATCATGTCAGTGCCATGGACATCACTAATTTTTAAACCAAGAACTGAAATGTTTAGTGTTCTTAACTGGCTAAGGTTACTGTATTAGGTTTCTATTTTAATAAATACCAGAAGTTCACCCAGGTTCCAAGTCAGCTACTTTAAAACTAAGAATCTAAATGTGGGCATAAATAATACAAGACATGAAATCACTGTTAATAGTCTTCATCATTTAGATAATTTGTTTAAAATTCAAACCTATTCTTTGTTTTCCTAAATTTTGACAGTTTATTGCCATTATTGTTTTGTATTTCAGTAATTAAAATTTATTTTAACTTACATATTGGGAAAGAGAGTTTCCCCCTCAACCCTGTCAATTTCTTTAATTCTCCATTTGCTTTCTAGAGTTCAAGCTAGCTAATGTTGAAATTTAAGAAGCTTGTATTTGTCTGTATACCTTTTTGTGGTTTGTGTGGATGGTATTTGAAGCGAGGGGATTGGGCAGAGAGATAACCTAGATTTATAGGTGAAGTCTATGGTGACAATTTTCAGTTCATTATAGAAGGTAAACTTTCTGTAGAAATAGAAGTAATAAGTGAGTGAGTTAATGAAATACAGTAACAAAGAATTGGCTCTTGTCTCTAGAACTATCTGAAAGGACTCAAGAACCCCTAGAATGATTAGAATAAAGGGTCTTGAGATTGCTTCCAACAATGAGATAATATAATTCTGATGAATTAACTTGTTGATTTATTTAAAATGAAATTTGATATTATAGTTAAACAGCAAATGCTGAACGGAAAGTAGAAAGACAAAGGAGCTTTAAAAGTAAAATTAAGAAAAAAATTTAAATAGACCCTCATATTTAGACATGTATTACATAATGTTTGTGCTGGTATTGTGTAATCGTTATTTTCTGGCATTACCAATTTGAGATTTTTCCACTTTATTCATATATAAATCAAGCAGATTGGAAAGATGAAGAATTGAAAAGGAGAGTAAGTTAGGAGCCTCTAATTTCTGCCACTCTTAGTTTTTAAATTCTATTTACCTTTAAATAAAAAAAACTTTCTGTAAATTTACATTTTTTAAAAGGGAAGGAATAAACTCACACATTGAAGGCAGCAAGATTTCAAGTAAAAAGTTTAGTAAATTTATTCTTGTTTTAGCTTTCTGAGTGCCACAGTGAAAAAGCATAGTGACTTTTTCTTCCATCTTGTCACTTGAACATAGTTTTGTTTTATGCTTTCTCGAGATGGAATCTCGCTAAGTTGCACGGGCTGCCTTTGAACCCTTCTACCCCGTGAGCAGGAGGGCCTGTAGCACGTATTACCATGCCCAGCTAGATTTACTTTTCAGATGATTTTTTTTACCTAACCATTGGAAATGCTGGTTTTATACTTTAGTATATTCTAATGCCTTAGTAATGATGACACTAGTTATTATTTTTGGAAAAGTATTAAATTGAAATTAGGAACATATGATCTTTAAAAATCTGTTTTTGTAAATCAGAAGCAGACTTATATATTAATTTCATGACAGGTTCTCAGTTATGTTAAAAGACCTATAATTTCTTCGTTAGAATTCACTAACCTATATAACCAATTTAAAGAAAAAAAACAAGAGCCCAAAAGTCACCAACCTTTTTAAGATAATGATAAATGTATGAGATGATTTGTTGGTTATAGATTGTATACTTTTATACACATTGTTTTAGTGTACCACATAAAAAGCTCAAATATCACGTGTTAATGAAAAACAAAAATAAATTATCAAAAAATTTACCTGCTAATTGCATTTTCCAAATGTATTTTTGTCTGTAGAGGCTCTGGACTGGGAAAAAGTGCAAATTATATAAAGAATGATATATAACACTTTTAAATATTATGTGTATTCATCATTTAATGGCATATTACAATTACTTAAATGTTCATTTTCGTTTTTTGTTGAATGTTCTAGTCTTAAGTGTAGAATGTGTTTAGTTCTAGTTTATGAATTTTGCCAGGAAATATTCCTTAATTTCAGTAGTACTATGCACTTAATAGAATAAGATTGTTATCTACAAAGTAGGTACTATGTACTACACACTAATTATGAATAATATAGTCCATTAGCACTATATAGAGAACATTTCCTTTATAAATTTCCTTAAAAGCCTAACTGATAAAATTATTAAAGGAAATTTTTATAATAGAGATTGAATAACAATAAAAATTTATAAATTGAGTGAATAACATAGCTTAATGTTTTATTTACTTTTTTTTGAGGTAATGAGATTGAACCCAGGAATGCTCTACTGATAAGCTACACCCCAACCCTTTTTTTATTTTAAGGCAGGATCTTTCCAAGTTGCCTAGGTTGGCCTTGAACTTGTGATTTTCCAGCCTCAGCCTCAAGACAGCTGGGATACAGGCAGGCACCACTGCCCTGTTTTTTTCACTTATTTTACCTAATTAAAATTTGGATGATAATGCATTTTGCTTGATAATACTCAATTTAAATGGTTACTTTGGGGAACGTTGCTTAAATATTCATCTTAGATTCTTTATGAGTTTATCTGTAATTTGAAACTGTTAAACTCCATGATCCCTGATAATGCCTCCAAATGTTAACAGGCTCTATTGAATATTGTAGTAGAAAATGTCATGTTTAGATGTAAGTACTCTTGCATTTCTTCTATACAACCTCTAGGGGGCACCAAAAGATCTAATTGCAGGGCTTGCGGGGTATCTTCAGCAGCTATTGATCTAGTTTCTACAATCTAACAGGTGTGTGAAGAACTGCGCTTCCAGTTGAGTAAAGCCCAAGTGGAGAAGGATGAGGCTGAAAAGGAGCACAAAGTATACAGAGTAAAAACTAAAAGGGATCTTGAAATGAAAGATCAGGTAAGGGATGGCATAATTAAAGATATCATTAACATTCTGTCTGAAGTTAATGTTAAGTTTTATCCCTAAGTTATTTATCTGTCTTATATTGTTTCTAACTAATGCAGTGACCTAGTTTATACTATTAAAAGCTTTTCATTTATAGTTGCCTAAAATTATCACCTTCCGCAGGAAGTAGTGAAAATACAACTGCATGCATAGAAAGTGCCAATCTGACAGGTCATAAATATACATTTGGATATGTGTATCTACTACTCACAAAAGTTAAGAAAATGTTCTAATGCACAGTTTGAACCTAAAATATATGAACATAAAGTTCTTGAAAGCTGCCAACTTGCATCCAATTTTAAATGAAAAAGTTTAAAATGTGTAAGATGAGACGGCTTGATGTGTAAATATGTCAATCAAATTGATTGTTGGCAGAGTGAGACCAGTTTTCACGAAGATAACCATGAATATGTTTGCTTAGGGAGCCTGAATACAGTGGAATTAGAAACGTTAGAGAGGAAAATGCTGCTTGGGTTAGCTTCAGCTTGAGCAGATGTTGTATGCTGTAACTTTATTGAGGCCGTGTAGGTGCTCCAACTGACAGCACAGATGAAGTTTTTAGAAAGGCACGCTAAAAGCCCTGTTTTTAGTTTACTATTTTTATGCTCCAGCATAGGCCTTCAAAGGTTTGCATGCTTTATATCTCATAAAAGCAGGTTGTTCATTCTGTTAAAATGATTGACTTCTTAGTGGCCATATTTTAAAGAAATTGCCATAATTTAAAAGTATGTAGCTCCAAGTAAAATGTTTTCAAGTATATTTCTAATTTGAGAGGTTTTTTTGTATGTCTCATTGTCCCCACGTTAAGCCCCATTAAGTCTTCATGACCAAATGATACGAAGACAATTAAGAAAAGTATTGAAATGAAAGTGTTAACAAAATTTACTGCAAAGAGACTTTTAAGGCATGACTAAAATCTTTAACACTAATTTAAAATCCAGACAACCAAACTAAAATTCTGATTTTGTATCACTGTATTCAGTGATGCATCTTTAGAGAATTTTTTCACCATTAACACTATAATGAAACTACATTATTTCATCCAGTTGGGGGCGTGCCTGATAACGGAATGGAAAATCCTTTCTATCTGGTTCTGAAAGCCTGGGACTACAGAGTCAAAGAGGGAGAACTTTCCTTGGCTGGTGTACTACAATTTTAAAGTTATACTAGCATAATCGCTAGCATTATTAAATACCTCTTATATAGTTGTACAATATTCTGCCAGCATAATATTTTGTACTAACTGGAAAAGTACAACAGTGAGGAATCTGAATGTTATTTAAAATTGTATTACAATGGTTTAGATTTAAAAGAAACAGCATCAATGAATATAATATCATTTGTAAATGAATAATTGTTTTAAAGTATTTTTTAGCACTCTATGGCATTGGATATAAAGACTACAGTTGCAAGACTTTAAAGGAAGAGTATTCATGTTAGACATTTCCTCACAATAGTGAATTACTAGGCATTTTCATAATGATTTTTAGTGGTACATTTTCAGATAGACACCTCATTTTTTTAGGAGGTCACAAGGTTGAGAATAAAACCTCTGAACAGAGACAATTGTGATGTGCACTTGTTACCATTTTTTCTTGGACAGAATTTAAGGAAACCTTATAGATACTCTTTGAAACTATTTTGTATTGGACAGATCCAGAAAAGAAAGTAGTAGTGTCTCATTCCATGGATGATTTGGAGTTGCAAAGCAGCAATTGTTCTTTGGTCTTTCAGCCATGACCTGACCTTCTGTCTATAAGACCAAAGAGCTATTTTGCTTGGCCACCATCTGCACTCAGGAGAGAAATTTACATTTAATTTTTAAAAGCTGGATATGTTGAGCATTTATCTGAAATACCTACAATAATGTGAAGCGTGTTTAATTTTAAAGTATTGCCTATCATATAACTCAGCTAAGGAGAAGTCTGGCGCTTGATTTGCAAACAAGTATTCCTTATGATGCACTCATTTTATTAATATTTTAGTTAATCTGACCATTCGATAGATTTTTAAAGTAGGCGGGAAGCTGTGAGATTGGAATGTGCTGAGAACAAGAGCTTTTTTGATGTGTACAAAATAGGGCAAATGGTTGACCACCAAAATGATTTTCCTTGTGACCTGAGCCTTGACTCTGGCATAATTAGATGGAAAGGTTACGAGAGTTAACAATGGCAGTTTCTTCCACCCACTTTCTTCCTTTCTTTTTTATATTGTGTCAGGAACCGATGGGCAGATTATCCTTCCCATCAACTCCTTTGTATCTCTTCCATGAGGAGGACTCCTGACAGCCTCGCAGGATGCTTTTTATATGCACACACACACACACACACACACACACACACACACTTACATTTGTATAGAGTAGAAGAAAAACTTGTGCCCTAATTTTTATCAGAAAATTTCTGTAACTATAGGCACACATATACATCATCATGAAAATTTAAAAACATTTGAGGGCAAAAAGACTATTAGAACAAATCCCTGAATTTCCGTCACCTGTGCTCAACATTTTGCTAGGCCTCTTCCATCTATTTCATATTTTTCCCTCTCAACTCCTTCATCTTCCTTGTCACTACCTTCATCTTTTGTCATCATCTTTTTCCTCCCCATTTTCTGTCTTCTTTCTTTACTTCGCTTTTTGCAGAAATTTTATGGTCAGTCTTAAACATTGTGTTTGTTATTTCACCCATGAATACTTCAGTGTGCATCAATGTGTATTTTTACAGTATCACTGTGCTATTATTATACCTGGGAACAGTAACAATAACTCCTTAATATCACATCAAATAATGCCCAGTGCCATGTTCAAATTCTTGGTTTCAAAAATGTTTTTAGTTGGCATATTAAAATCAAGAAAACAGGTATGTTTTTGCACATTAAAGTGTAACATTACTGCTCTCTTTAAAAGGAAATGAAAGGCACTCAGACAGATTTTAGGTTTTTTTGTTGTTGTTCATTTTATTTCATAATGGCTCATTGTGCTTAAGAAATGACACATCCTCACTCAAAAGGAATATGAATTAATCCTGTGGCAGAGTCTTTGAAAAAATGACTTCCTTATAGGATTCCCAATCACTGAATCCCAAAAGGAGCTCCTTAGACTCTGAAACTCAAAATACATAATTTCATGTCCTTGTATTTAACATTTTGGAATGTTGAGGAAGCCCCTGGCATTATCAGGGTTAACTGACCTCAAATAAAGGATGCATAAATGGAATTCTCTTTCTCTATTTCCATTTTGGTAGATAAATCTCAAAGATGATCTTTTATTAGGGCTCTGTGCAAAGTAAAACTACAGGGTTCTTTGTTCAGAAATAAAGAAGTGGTGCTAAAGGTACTAAAATATAAAACTTTTTTCTTTCTTTTTAGTCTTCTTCTTTCCTCTGTGTCGGTGTTTTTTAATTTGCTCTTTAACTGCTTTCTCCAGTTAAAGATGGGTATACAGATGGAGAAGTACAGATCCCAAGGGGTCCTGGGACTGCGGATGCACATGTGGCCCATCAGCTTCTGGTTCTTTTGTCCTCCAGCCCCAGGACCCACACACCAGGCCCTCAGGTAGTGGGGGAAGTCTGTCAGGCCACCCCGCGAGACTGCAGCATCCACACTGCGTCACAACTGGTGCTTGGATCAGGAAGAGATGCAAGGCTCACACACAGTCCATTGAGTGTGCTGTGTTCCTGCCAACCCGGAGCAAGGATGGTCCCTCCATGTCCATCCCTAGATGCCACAGATGGACACATTCAACCCCCACACCCCTCCCCCTAAGGCCCACATCTGGGTCCCTGTCGGGGGCAAAGGACAAGAGCAGAGCACAGTTCCCCACCCAGGACCTGGAGAGCAGCAGGAGCAGGGCAGGGGCAGCAGAGAGGAGGCTGGCGGAGAGCGTGCTTCTGAGACCGCCCCAGTGCAGCAGTGAGGGCTGAGGCTCCGTGCGCCATCACACTCTGCTGACCAAACACAAACTCCAGTGTAAAATCATTGGGAATTTCAAGACACTGACTCCAAAGTCTTGCTAGAGCAGAGCCCTTCTGAACAGTGCCTGTGTGACTGTCCTGACCACTTGCCCATGAAGCTGCTGTGATTACAGATAGAGGCAGACTTGATAGTTAGTGAGCTTATCTACGCACCCACCTACATCCGCAGACATCTGTACCTATGTAACGTGCTCACACACCCTGTGTCCTCAGAGGGGGATTCACCAGCAGTAGCCCCCAGGCCAACTCTGCCTTGCCAACTAGAACACAGCTGTGTTGTTTGTATGGTACCCATTGCTACTGTCCTGCTACAACAGCAGACTTGAGGAAGTGTAGTGGAGGCCAGATAGCCTGCGAAGCTTAAAACATTTAGTATCGACCCATTACAGAAAAAGTTTGCCAACCCTGGTCCTGGATATTTATTTTAAATCATAACTTAGGAGTTTTAGAATTTTTTACACTTCAACAATACATCACACACATCTCTGGTCTCTTACTCATCAAATAGTAATGCTGAATGAGTGTACCACTGGCTGTGGCATTATTGCCTTTTTAGTGACACATGCCTTTATAATAGCCTGAGTGAGAGCATAACGCCAATTTTGTTTTATATTTACAATTTAGTTTTGGGTTAACATCAATTTAATTTTTCAGAGATAAGAATACTGACAGAGAAAGCTTTTCTGATAGACTGCAAACACTATAAGTTTGGTGTTGTAACTGGTGTTGAGTAAAAAGCATTTAAGTTCAAAATTACCTTCATCAAATAAAGTAATTATTTAAGAGTAGAACACAGGTACAAAAGAAATAGACTAGAAAAGTTTTCCCAGAATAAATTAAGGCAAAGAAGGATTGGGAGCTGCTCATGTCTACAGGAGTATGATCCAGCACTTTAATACTGACATTAAGCATGGAGTGTATCATTGCAGGAATTATTTCCTAAGTCCAGTTGACTTAGTGAGATTGTTTGGAGAAGTA